CCCCTGCTCCCATCTGCTGTGCAAACATCTGCTCATATTTCAGGGCTCAGCTCAATCTACTCTTTCTTTACAAGGTCTCATCTCTTGTGTCCCTCCTTCTGCCCCAGGTAAATCTGAAGACTTTCTTCCTTGGGTTTCATCTTTACACATATATTGTCAATGTAGTTTGCTTCTCCAGGACTGTAAGCCCCTTGTAGACAACCTCTCTTTCGCATGAATCTCTACCTTAGTTTCCAGCTCCTAGAAGGAGCAAAATAAATATCTACCAAATAAAGAAGGAACGAATTCAGAACAGAGTCCACCCTGTGAACAAATGCTAAATAAGTATCATGACAGAACAAACAATGTACTGGAGCATCACAAAGACTTGTGTGCCCATAGCTTTGCTATTTGTAAATCCATTAAGCCTCAGTTTGCATTAGTAAACAAGTCAGGTGCTATTCTCTGTAATGTGAGCTGACTTTCAGGGACAGAAAATGGGGATGACGCCTCATATTGGCTTGCTTCCTTAGCAATTTGTAAAGGCAAAACACAACAAAACAATTCCCTCTTTCCCAAAAGTTGGCACAGGCTCAAGGTTTTCTTTTCCAAAATACTTTCTTTGGTCAGGCAACACTCTCCATGCTATTGCTGTTGGGCATTAGTGTGCTCTGAATCCATTAGAGAAGATCAGTCTGGAATACTAACAGATGCACAGTCCTGAGTTTTGAGAACTGGAGTCGAACAATTGAACTGTATAACAGTAGCCACCTTCTCTGGCTAAGCTGTTCTAAACTTCACCATAAGCAGGCATATTTCAGAGACTGGCTCCTTGATTGTCCTAATTTCTACACCTGAAAGGAGGAACAATTGATTTGAGGCAGAAAGGCAACTCAAAAGAGTGTTTTAACTTTACATGCACATACATAATACTTGTTTCCTTTCAAAGACAGCACTTTAAATGCCGTCAACCTCACAGAGACAACAGAGATGAAAAGGAACAAGGATATTCTTTTACAGTAAACTTTTATACTAAATATATGCTTACATACACATGTACATACATAAGGCAAGAATAACACAAAAAACCCTCTTACTTTAGGTTGCCTATTAATTTTAACTGGAAAAGCCCTAGGCAGTGAAAAAAAAATTGACCCATGCCTTAAATAGATCAAGTCATTAATTTGGAGTGAGTGGAAATGGCTAGATAATATTAGGTTGTCATGGTAGAAAGTAAGTTTTGGACATTCTACTTTCACATTACTATCTAAACGTGTAAAAATACTCAGAGAGGCAGAAAGTAGGGCTAAATTTAGACCTTTATTTAATGCAGTCAAGAGCATGAGTCATTTTCCTCCTCCCCTGGTACAGACTAGGGAATCTGAATCTATGCAGGCAACACATGGATGCCTTGTAAATAAGTGGAAATCCCATTCATTCAGAGGCCAGAGAAAGCCAGAAACACCCTATTTTCTCTGCCAACAAAGGTGCACTTCCAGGCATCTCATACACCAAAATGTAGAACCTAATTCCTAAGCTGGTGAGAGCCTATCCAATTTTAACTTTGTTCAGCCTTGGCGCGAATGTTGTGAGATTTATTCTGCTCTTTCTCTCCTCTAAGGGGCTTTCCTCCTCAAGCTCCCAGGGGATCCTAACCAGCTCTCAGAGGACATGCAACATTGCTCAAGCTAATGAGACTGTCCCAAAGGATGTCATTTGTAACTGATGCATTTAACAACCTGGAGTCCAAGTCACTTCATGGAAGCCCTTAGGTTGGTTCTTAGAGAGCTAGTATTCTGTACAACAAACACCTGAAGCCAGTTTTACTACTTGAAAAGACAAAACCAAAAAGGAACCAACCAGACAACAGCAGCAAGTTCAATTCCCATGTATTCATCAGGGTATTAGGTGACCATCAGTGTTTATTTCACAGTTTCATCATCTTCTGCTTCCAATCACGCCGACGCACTCTCTGCTTCCAATGCTAAAGCAAATATGGTGGCTTCCACAGATCATTTAGATTAAGGCTGGACTATAAATTGTGTCCAACATGGCTTAGAAGTGAAGAGCATGTACATTATTTCGGGGGTTTTACAGTGACTCCATGTTTTTTTTCTTTTGCCTTTAGTTTTTAAGTACATTTGGAAAGTAACCTTACACGTCTTATTCTAGGATCATTGCCCTTGTTGCTAATTGTCTCTGCGTTTAAGACAAATGATAGGAAAAAGATGGCATGTATATAAAAAGTTAGTCATTGAAATTAAAATCAGGTAATATTGCCTCCCAGAAGTGAGAGAATCAAAGCTGTCTTCCTTTCCAAGGTAAAAAGACTGATGTTAATAATGCCCCCCAAGGACCCCATTGCACAACACATCCATCCTTCCCATTAAGAAAGAGATTATTTCCCCAAACATGAAATGGGTTCAGCAATTTTGAAGTAAAAAACAAAAGAGTCAGATATGGCGCGTGCATTACATTAGGAATGAGTTGCTCTGAGAAGGTGTGTTTGAATGAGCAGCGCTTGGAGAGGCCTGCACAGGGCACAGGGCACAGGGCACAGGGCACAGGGCACAGGGCACATCCATGGGATGGGGTTGGGAGCCCGTAGGCAGGGCTATGGGTCCAAGTGGATATGGGATCTGATCAGCCTGAATACATGCTTCACAAAACCAACCTGGACACGGCACAGAGAAGAGGCAAGACACCGTAGGGCAGCGTAAATGATTTGTACCTTTCTCAAACAGCATGGGACTTGGGTCTTCCGGGCAGTTCTGAATGAACAAATGGGAAAGTTACCCAATTCTCATCAAGCCCACCAGGAGCTCAATGAATATCAAATTATTTAGAAGACAGGGATGTTCAATGATCTGGGCCAAATGGAATGACAGATTTCAGGGTAGCCTTCTTTATCTATTTGAGAAAGGACAAATACTCTTTAGCACTCTAGACAGAAAACTGGCTGATTTAGCTTAGAACAGTGGCTGCCATTGCAGCCAATTTCAGAATATCTAAAAGGAAGGCAAATGTGGGAAGGTCATCATGAAGGTTGTATCTAACCGAGGCAGGGTCAGTTATATACTGGGATTTGGGACAGAAATTTATTCTCACACACATAGAGCACCACAGAGCTAATTAACAATGTGGAAAATCTATTTTCATTTTTCACTCACACAAACACCTCTCTTTCATCTCTGGGGGGATTTCAAGTTCTAAACTACAATCAGCCCTTCTTTTAAAATAACAATAATAAATCCTCTTGTTCAGCCAGATGGTGGTGTTTGTTGCACTAGGCTGGGTTCATAGTACAACATCAATAAATGGCCACTTGTAGAGGGACAGACAGAATCCCATTTATAAAACACACCTACACTTCCCTCCTTTTCCCCTCCCAAAATGTTGCATTGTCAAAACACCCATGGGGGCTTAATCTCATTTGGGGGAAGAAAGGAGAACCAGAAAAGGTAAAAAAAAAAAAAGGTAACTAAATGGAAAAGCAATTTCTTGGGGGGAAAATAGTACATTTAATCTCTGAGGAGAATGATCATGGTGGGCTTTTTAAGCATTGCTTTGCCTTTAGGGACCATATAAAAAAGGCTGTCAAAAGGCGTTTCCCCAGTCCCTGGAAAACTGTCTTGGTGAAGGCTGCACATTGTCAACCAATGACATTACAACTGGGAGATGGAGTTAAAATTCTTCCTCCATGAGTTGGCTAAGTCTCATGTTACAAATATGTGTTCTAGTTTTGTGTTCCAAAACTCTTGCTTGCCTCAGATAACATAGTTTGAGAAGGAAAGGATATTTGCTCAAAATCCACTGGAGAAGGGAAGTTGATGTACCTGTGTATCCTGTTGCCAGTGAAAACACATCTTCATGGGCTGGAAGACACATGCTTCTTCCTTATGTTCCTAGTTTCAGTCCTACCTTGGAGGGGCGGGTAAGTGGGAAGGCTGACTAGTCTCTGTTACTGCTCTTTATAAGCTATACTTCCTGGTTATATAACCTAATCTGTGTCCACACTCTAGGGTTCAGATGGCTGGCCTGTCAGCAAAAGATGTCTGAAAAAAGATGATAATTCAACAGTGTTGCAGGGATGTTATTTCCAGAGCTAAACTCCTCAGGGAAAATAAGAAATAGTTGCTCCTGGGATTCAACTCCTCCACACTGAAAGATGTTCCTTTCCTGGTGCTTTCTTTCCAAATAATTTCCCAAAGCCTGGTGTGTCCTGACATTTGGTCCAAATAAAATCCTGGAATAAACTCCGAAGCTATAGCTATCTTCACACTCCAAAGAGAAACATTTATTACAGAGAATCAGCATCTATTAGGGTATTAAACATCGGGGCCTGCTGGCGCCCACTCCTCACACTGAATCACTTCATGATACAGACTCTAATTTTTCCCCCCTGGCATTTATAGCCAGCAACTCAATTTATGACCTAAGGCATTTTCCATATTTCCAAGCAATAATACTGGCTTCCTATGAGTCTCAATAGCACATAATTTAAGACAGTGGGAAAGGGAGTTGGAGAATAATTTCCAGTTCAAGGAAAACACCATGCAGATGTTTGCCCTTATATCTGAATTCTGATGGTGAAATTGAGAATTGTTTATTTATTCCAAAGTCAAACCGAAGGAATTTATGTTCTAAAGGTTGGGGGCTTAGGTAGGGGTGGGGAACAGTGACATAATATATTCCTGATACTGAAATATTCCACACATGGCCCTAGGATTTTGAATCATAAAATAATTTAGATCTTTTAAAACAGTTCATTGATCAAATTTGGCATACCAGATGTCGATTCATGTCACAGAAAGGACATACTTGCAGAAATACCTGAGGACTTTTTGCTAACATGATATATTCACCTTCTGTAATTTTTTTTTTCCTTAAAGATAGAAGCTAGGAATCAGTCCTCTATCTTGAGCCATTTATTGAGAACAAATAAATGAACTTGGAAAAGATATGACCCAATTGAAGTTAAATACCTGACTTTGGTGTATGAGAATCATAAACTTGCTTACGGTCTATCTGGTCTGCAAACACTTCCCCATAAATCATCCAGTAAGGCATGTAGAAGATGTTCTTGGCCAGTTTCCATGATGGCTCCTCATTGGGAAAGAGGATGGCTTGTCTGGCGACTCCAAAGCTCATCAGTACCACCAGCATAATGATGACAAAGTACATCATGTCAATCATCTGGAAGGGTGGGAAACAGAAAAGACAGAAGAAGATCCATGTGACTGAATGGTCCTAAGTATGCTGACATTGATGCAAACCTTTAAAGAGGTTTGCTTTCTAGAATGCTGATAAAAGATGTCGAGATAGGGAATTGTGTCTGGATCAGAGGACATTTGATCTACTGAAGTCAGTGCTCATGGAATCTTATCAGTAACTCATAAACCATTTTTTAAAAAGTGCATGCACTCTGTGCAAGTAAGATACACAAATTTGTGAAGCGTTCCATAAAAAAAAGAAAAAAAAAGGTGCATGCACCTGGGGCCAGCAGGTGGCTAAGGCACTAGACTCCCACGTGACCAACTGCATTCCAGTCCCAGACCTGGAGGCTTAAAACTAGGTTGGGCATTTGTGTGTTTGTGCCCAAGATCCTGAGAGGGAATGGAAGAGAAGGGACTGTGGTGTGGCCATCCTCCTGGGAGCTGATTTCTTGCTTTCTTCTTCATCTTTCTGGTGAGCACAGGCACCCTATAACAAAACCCTCTCTAAAAAAAAAAAAAAAAAAAAAAAAAAAAAAAGTGTTTAACCATAATCTAGAAAAAAAAAAAAAAAAAAAAAAAAAAGGTGCATGCACCATGGAGCCTCTCTATTTTTTTTTCACTGGTGTGGGACCTGGTCAAGCCTAGGTAAATGAGTCATTTTATATCTGTGCTCCAGGTTGAAACAAGTGTCCTCTCTGGGTTTCTCTTTTCTATGCAAATTTGAAATTAGGGTAGTTAAACTATTTTTTAAAATGACTGCAATGCTATAAATTCTTGCTCCAAGTTCTAAGAGGTGAATGAAGAGTTAGCTCAAGAAAATAATTGCCTGTAAATAAAATTAAGACAAACCATTTACCCATCATGTTCTGTCCTACTCTAGTGACCCCCTCCCCCTACATTGCATAATGTACCATAAGCCAGACTCTCAAAGAACCACTCTTTCTATACTTACTTCTCCTGCAGGGTATCCTATTAACTATGGAGGGTATTTTCTTCGGCTCAGAATCAGGTAATCTAATGACTCAAACCTGTGCTTGCTGTTGTAATGATGGATTTTAATCTCGGCATGTTTATAAAATCCTGACTGCATTCTTGTGCAATGTTACCTCTTGTTCTTTGTCATTACTTTCTTCCTGTTCCCATGATATATGTTATATGAGATTTGTTTCTCATATGCCAAATTGCTGCCTTTTATCATCCAAAATAGATGAACATGAAGTAACTATTTGATTTTTGCCTGGCCAGAATCCAATGCCTCCTCTTTTTAGAAATAGTTTCTATTCATTTTGGCCATGGGGTAGGTGTTTCCAGGTGAGGTTAATGATGGTACCTCACCCCCCTGGCAGTAGTGATAGGAGGTAGGCAAGAAACATAGAATCTCTCTCTTTCTTTTATGGGTTTGTTTTTAAAAAACTGAATTCAGGAGGGAGACGTTCTCTTTCCCTCTCTGTAATACTGTCAATTTAGTGTCTGAGGCTGAGTCTCCTACTAGTGAAACTGAACAGTGTGAATGAAACAGATGTATAAAAGAAAGAGAACAAGTCTTGACAGTGGTTGAGTTCCTGCCCTACCAGCAGTAGCCCCGATAGTCAGTTTCATCATGCCCTTGTGTAAGTCATTAGATCCCTTCTTCTTATTTTATTTTATTTTATTTTATTTTTTGAGAGGTTTTTGCTACAGAGTGCATGCACTCGCCAGGGAGACAGAGAGACAGAAAGCAAGAAATCACCTCCCCCCGGGGGGGGGGGGAATGGCTATGGCGCAATCCCTTCTCCTCCATTCTCCTCTTGGGATCTTGGGCACACAAGCACACGCACCCAGCGTGAGTTCAAACAACCAGGTCTGGGACTCGAACCACGGTCGACTACATGGGAGTCCAGCGACATAGCCGTTATGGCAACTGCTGGTCCTTGATCCCTTCTAAGCTTAAGCTCCTTGAAGATTGGGTTCTACCTCTTGCATCAAACCATATCAGAAGACTATCTTCTCTTGGATATCTTATTTCCTGAAGAGGTATTCAACCACAGATAAAGACTAATGCTGTTTTACTAATGATAATGAAGGCTTCAAGTTATTTTAAAATTATGTCTTATAAGAATATGTTCCATGGTGCCTGTTATTGAAATTCAAACATTTCAACATTCCTTTATGCCTTAGGACAGCGGAGGTCTCAGTCCATTTTAGATAAGTCAACTTCAAGGTAACTTCAAACTTTATCTCATAAGGATTATCTGACTTTGAAAATAAACATAAATCTCGAAATCTGAGAGATTCATTCATATTTACTCACGATTCTTAAAGGCATATGCAAGTTAATTAGTTATTTCTTCCACAGTTTAGTGGTCTCAGAATTCTCTTAACATGAGCAAGCCAGCTGTGTTGCAACAGTTTTATAGCAAACATAGGCCTGTTTTATATTCCCTTTCTCTTTTTCTTTTGTATTTTGTAGAATGCTTTCATTGTTTATTTACAAAAAGTTCTACCCATGAAAAAGCACACATAAGTTCTTCTTGTTAAATTTATTTATATTGATTAAAAGATGGGTGGGCGTGTAGAAGACCCCTGTCCCAGTGTGTGTATTTATGAGATTTAGGAAGTAGTTTGACCCAAGAAAACTCAGCCAATAAAAACAGAAACTGTTCTAATTTGATTTATCAGGATTGTTTTCATTCAGATTGATTGCGATATCTATCCGAACAATCAGAGAGAAGCAACATTCTTCCCAAATGTTGAGCTTAGTATATTTCAAAGAAGTCTTAGCTTTCATACAAATATCAAAATCTAACATTATAGAGTGGAGTATAGAAGCAGAGCATTATTAGAGAGAACTGGGGTCAGTTTTCTCTGTTTTTAAAGCTAAATTGTCCAGCTGGTTAGAGAGCTGCTTCTGCCCTATTTTTGTAAATACCTTTTGGTTGTGTTTTATAGAGAGGAGTGCATACTGTAGTGATTAAGCTTCTGTCCTCTGGTGTGAAACTACCCAGGTTTTTATCTTGGCTTCACTAGTAAAAATAGTTATGTGTAAAAATACCTTCCCAACACACACAAATCCAGTAAAGATAACTACATAAAATAATAAAATAAAATAAAAACAGCTTTCCTAGTCATGCAAAAATAAAGACAAGGCAAAAAAGATAGCTAGGTGGCCTTTGGTGAGTTGTTTAATCTTGTGTTTTTATTTGTAAAACAGAGATAATAACAGTAACAATTAAAAAATGCCCATTATTTGTGTAAAGATCAAGTGAGGTAAGCTCTGAAACATCTAATGTGGTAGGCTCTCAGTAACTGCTATTGTGTTACTATTGCTATTATTATTGGAGTTGGGAGTAGGTTGGGCTGTGGAGTCAGATAGACAGGAGTGTTTGAATCCTGTCATTGCTCCTTGCTCAGTCTTAGCTTATTGTTTGTTAAATGAAGACACTAAAACATGTTTCCTAGGGATGTAATGATGACATGTCTGATATGGTATCTGGCATTTACTACTATGTAGTAAATGACAGTTTGGAAATTATTGTTTTTATTCTGATATATATAAATGAAATTGGTTCTAGGCTTAGAGAATGTCTTTGGAAAGTGGAATTTGAAGGAAAGAGATTAAGATTTTATTAAGTAATCCTGGACCTGCTGATGAATTGGAATCATACTGGAGATGCAGGTTTTCCATGCTGGGAGACATTTGCTGCACTGGTTTCATATATGATGCAAAGACTCAGGTTCAAAATGGATTCCTGAGCATTGTGTGTGCAGGAATCTTACCAGCTGTCTATCCCTAGACCACAAGGCAGTGAGTTACTCGACTGTTTAGTACTGAATAGGGACGCCCTAACGTTGAGGGGCTTTCAGCATAAACACATCTGGGCATATTTTGTTAAGCTTCCAGCCTGGCAGTCCATCTGGCTGACTGATAAATTCTATAGGCATATTTTATCTACCTTCTGGATCACTGACTCAATTATCAATCTAATTATCTTAAAAGCCCCATGAAAGAGTTGCAAAGTCCCCAAGTATACTCATTTTTTACTTATTCTTGGCTGATAAATGAAGTCATTCATAAGTTAGAAAGTGGAGAAAAATGCAGAACATTTTCTTCTCTTTTGTAAAGTTTCATTCTAGTCAAAATCGGAGATAATTATGCCATTATTAAAATGATAGACATGGATTTTAAAGTAATCTTGCTGCATTAGTATGGCTTTAGGTATTTCAAGTAGTTAAATACCATTCCCATTTTTAAAAGTAATATACTTGGGGACAACAGGTGGCAAGGGTGGTTAAGGACTGGACTCTTACATGGCCGTCAGCAGTTTGAGTCCCGGAAGATGGCCTGAAGATCATGCTAGGCAAATGTGTGTACATGCTCAAAATCCCAGAAGGAGAATGAAGGAGAAGAGATTATGGCATGGCCAACCCATCTGAGGGGTGATTTCTCACTTTTCCTCCATTGTCTCTTTCTGGCCAGTGCACACATCCTATGGCCAAACTTAAGAAAAAAAAAAGTAATATACTTAGTTTGTGTGGATCTTTTGGATTTTATTTGTTGAAATAAAATAAAAAGTAACAATCAGTTGAAAAGAAAACCAATCAGATTATACAACTGCGTAATGCAGTCATTTCCCACAGAGGGTGACATGTGGCAATGTTCATAGACATTTTTATTGTCATAACTGTGTGTGTATATGTGTTCGTAGAGGCCAGGGAAACTCTGAAACATCCTATCATGCACAGAATAGCTTCCTAAAACAAAGAGTTATCTAACCCAAAATATCAATAGTGTGAAGGTTGAAAAAGCGTGGCCTAATTTTACAGCTGTTACAGTTCTGCACTTCCACTGAGTCCATTTGAGGATATATTTGAAAATCTCATGAAAGCTTGTCCTCTCTGTCTAGAAAATTCACACATCCACACATTTTTATGCATAAATTTGGGAGAAGGTCCCTAGATCTTCTATCCTAAGCCCCACCCCCAGACTCTAAGTTGAGATTCTCTGCCTTCAGACACAGGAATTTTCACCACAACCTCAAATTCAATGTTAAAAAAAAAAAAACACAAAGAAGATAATAATAGGCAGTATAATAGAGTAAGAGACTTATTTTTTTCCCTAGTCTAAGAATTCTCAGTTGAACTGGAATATAGTTCAAAGGTAACTCAAGCTTGTGAATTCATTCTTTCTATTTAGAATGGATTTGATGATATTTGTCCTAAGCAATGTTGGTGTTATGAATAACAAGTTTTTGTATAAAAAGGTTTGCAATATAGAAGAATGATTATGCTCATCAATTTTTCCTTTTATTTTTTTTTTCTTTTCATACTTGTATTTGTTTGCCAGAGAGATAGACAGGAAAAAAGCATGCCCTGTTAAGGTGTGGTCATGCTGCTATCCATTCTTCTCCATCTCGCCATCCTGTCAGGATTTGGGGCATGCACACGCACATAGACATCATGTTTTCCAAGCTGCTGAGTTTGGGATTCAAACTGTGCAGTACGCTGTGTGGGATCTGGCTTCCTTAACCACCAGGCGACAGAGCTGACCTCATCATACATTAAAAGGCATAATATGAACACAATGCTAACAGGTAAAATTTATCAACCACCAAACAATAAGCCAGACACTGTTGCCCAGTTGAGAGTCTTGCTATTGCCATTCTTTTTTATTTTTTGGAGAGGTTTTTGCTATAGGGCGCATGCACTTGCCAGAAAGACAGAGAGAGACAGAGAGACAGAAAGCGAGAAATCACCCCCCGGGGGGGATGGTCACGCCGCAATCCTTTCTCTTCCATTCTCCACTTGGGATCTTGGGCACGCATGCACATGCGCCTGGCGTGAGTTTAAGCCACTGGGTCCAGGACTCCAACTGCGGTCGACTACATGGGAGTCCAGCGACATAGTCATTATGCCAACTGCTGGTCCTGCTATTGCCATTGTTTTATAACCATGCCCTGCTCTTTTTCAAACATGGTTTTGTTATATTGCCCAGACCAGCCTAGAACTGGTGATCCTTCTTCCTTAGATTCCCAATGCTAGCATTATAGGTATGTACCACCACTCCTGGGTTCTAGGTTGGATCAGGGATCAAACCTGAACGTCCCATGTGGTCCCAGCCTATAGAACACAGCATTTTAGCAGCGTATACCGACGTGGCACACACTGGGCCTGATGTGTCATTTCTTATCTTCACAGCAACCCTATAACATTTGCATTTATCTCTCATTCCTATTTTAGAGATGAGTAAACTGAGACTCAATGAGATTAAATAAATTGCTCAAAATCTCATCTCCAGTTCACTTTGAATTCAAATTCTTCCTCTCTTTGCATGAGTTTATCAGTGACTTGTAGGGAGTCTTGGTTATTTAACATTCACTTTAGTAAAGTTATGCAAACAAACACACATACAGATGTTTAATAAATATTGAGTTATCAATTATTTATAAAATAAAACTTGAATGATAAGATAAAAAAGACTTCTGACCAACTGTCGGTTTCAACAGCTCATACAATAGAAGTGAAGTGAAGGTTATTAGCAAAAAGGTTTCACAGGAAGAGGTGTTTACCATGGTAGGAAGGATGTGCTTTGCTTTTTCAAATGTCCTATAACGTGGTATAGGAGATATATTTAGAAAAGTAATAAAAAGTATGTCATTTCTGAGCTTTGCACTCTGATTCTTCTTCTAGTAAGTTTGGAGAGGAAGTGAGTTATGGGTATACTCGCAGATTCCTATTGATCTTACTCTGCCAGGGTGCAGACTTTACAGAAAGTCTAGAAGTCCATATGTGGTAAAGAATAGTGGAACAAGTCCTCAGCCATCTGTGAGGAAGCTTAAGAGCTTGCCACTTAAGACTTCTTTCTTTCCTTCTTTCTTCTTCTTCTTTTGTTTTGTTTTGTTTTGTTTTGTTTTGTGTGTGTGTGTGTGTGTGTGTAAAGAATTAGATAAATAGGAATGTCATTCTGGAATGTAACTTTTTTTTTTTAAAGGTTTTTGCCATAGGGTGCATGTGCTCACTGGAGAGAGACAGAGAGCAACAGTGAGAGTGAAAGTAAGAGATCACCCCCTGGGGAAATGGCCATGCCATAATCCCTTCTCCTCCATTATCCGCTCGGGATTCTGGGCGCGCGCACACACACACACACACACACACACACACACACACACACACACGTGCACCTGGCATGATTTTTAAGTCAGCAACTCTGGGACCTGAACAGTGGTCAGTCATGTGGGAGTCCAATGCCTTAACCACCATGCTGCCTCCTGCCCCCTGGAACCTAGTTCTTATTAGATATTATTTTCAAGTAGTGTAACAAAGCACACGATGTGCAATAGAACTTATTAACCAATTCAAACCCAACCTACCTTAATTCAACTCAGCTCAACTCAAATAACATGTGTTTTTTTTTTACCTTTGGTGTTGGGAAAGGCATTTTTTTTTTAACAGTTTATTTTTTAAAGTCTATTTTTAAGGTTTGTTTAAAAAAAATTCTTAAAAATCCAGGCCTAGTAGGTGGTATGGAGATTAAAGCCCTGGTTTCCATATGGCCGACGGCACAGAGTCCTGGACCCCAAAGCTTGAAAAGCATGCCGGCCATATGCCCAAAATCCTGATAGTAGACTGGAGGAGAATGGATTGTGGAGTGGTCATCCCCCTAGGGGGTGACTTCTCATCTCCCATGCCCATCTCTGCTGAGTATGTACACCTTATAGCAAAACAAAAACAAAACAAAACCAAAAACAACTTAAAAATCTATTAAAAACTTGTAGCGGGGACCCATTGTTCCTCCAAAACTTAGCTAAAATATGCCCTTCATGTAAAGCCTTCCTTGACTAACATTCTCTTCCCTGTGCTTGATATACTCTATATACTCTATTAAACCACTAGCACACTAGATGGTAATTACTTCTTTCTCCTTCTTTCTCTCAACTTCTATCTCATGGAAAGAAGATCTTTGCATACCCAACTTCTCGTCCAGTGCATGACACAAAATAATCTTTATGTATTCTTTAGTAAGTGAATGAATGGGGACCTGATGATTAAATGCTCCTGTTTTGTGAATAAAACTAAATACATTTCCTGAGTGGCACACAGATGTAGTCTAACTCCCTAACACTCGAAAAGAATTTAAAAAATAAAACATCCACAGGACCACCTCTAGTAGACCTCGATAGCAGGCCCAAATGAATTATTTCCCTCTTCCCATTATGACCACTTCTACGATGACTTATATCATGGAATCAGAGGCCCCTGCTTACCATTTTTCCAATCATCATTACGTATGGCCCCAAATACTTGTTCACACCGAAGATGTCTAGTAGACGGATATACCAATAAATGATGTTCACGCAATAGATGACTCTCCCATCACTCCTGAAAGGCTGGTCTTGGAGACGAAGGATCATCCCGACTGAGAACAGAAGGATGGCTATGAGGTCTGTGACATTCCAGTACTCCTGCAGCCACACCTTCACTTTCTGCAGCAGCTTCCCTGGCTCTGACATCAGAATCTACAAGGCAGGACGGAATGTGGGGTTAGGTCTGTTCTATTGGGTACAGTTGGGAAATGCCTGGTCAGTTAGCTGACAGTGGTATAATGTTTTCTACGTAAATTCTTTTGTGCTAAGAATGTACAGCTGAACTAAGTTTAGGCAGCTCAGATACAAATACTCTAGGAACACATGATCAGTAAGTTTGAGCCTTAGGGTTGCCTTACAATTCTAGGACACAGTAGGGTTTTGCTCTAAAACACTGTTGTTGATGCTTGATACACTGCAAATCTTCTTTAAAGTCTCCTCCATCTCAGAACAGAGCCACCATATTGAGTGACTCAGGCCCCTCACCTGAGAAGACTATTTCATTCACACCTCGCCTCCTCTGCATCAACAAGTCCTATCTCCTCTATTCCTAAGTACAACCTAACCAGCACTTTCCACCACCTCCATGACGCTGCCCTATTTGGAGATGTATCACATCTCACAAATGACTGCAGCAGCCTTCTGACTGGTGCTCCTGCTGGTATTACTGCCCATCTGCCCTTGATTCATTCTCTGAGTAGCACACAGAATGACCTCTGAGAACCCAAGTCAGGATTTGGATGGTAATTCCATGAATATATATAAAAACTCACCAAGCTGTACCCTTAGGAGCTGTTCATTTTGTTACAGGTGAAATGCACCTAATTTAATAAAAAGAGACTTAAAAACCAATGAACAACAATAAGAGACACTAAAGTCCATTATGATAATTGCATGCTTAAACTTTTGGATGTCCTCCTTTACAAATAGAAAAAAACAAAAACAAAAACAACAAAAAAACAATAAAAAACAACAAACCAAAAACCAAAAACTCCTTTCCATGACCTCCTTCTACTTCTATTGTATTCTTTCTCCCTTGTTCTCTCTCTGGCAGCCACAGTGGCCTACTCTAAAACATAAGTCCATCTATCTCAGGACATTTGCACTTTTTCCCTCTGTTGGACTTTTCTCTCAAATTTTTACATGTTTGGCTCCTTCTCATCCTTAAGGTCTCTGCTCAAATGTCCCTTTCTTTCTTTTTTTTGGGGGGGGGAGAGGTTTTCACTATAGGGCGTGTGCACTCGCCAGCCAGACAGAGAGAGACACAGAGACAGAAAGCGAGAAATCACCCCCCAGAGGGGATGGTCACGCCGCAATCCCTTCTCCTCCATTCTCCTCTTGGGATCCTGGGCACGCACGCACATGCGCCTGGTGTGAGTTCCAAGCCACCGGGTCTGGGACGCGAACCGCGGTCGACCACGTGGGAGTCCAGCGACATAGCCATTACGCGAACTGCTGGTTCCCTCAAATGTCCCTTTCTTAGGAAGGATTTTTTTTCCTTCCCTTCTTATGAAGTTTATTTATTTCTTCTGAGAGAAAGAGAGAGAGAGAGAGACTAGGGTCCTCCTGTCATGACCCACCTCCAGTTTCAGCTGACCTAGATCAGAAGACACTCAAGGAGGTCCCAGGATTTGAACTCAGCACATTTTTTATATAAGTTCAGTTGTGTTACCTCTGTATATCACCATCTGGCCCCAGGAGACCTTTCTCGACCACTCTAGCTACAGAACCCTTTGTGTTCCCAAATCACTCTCCTATTTAATTTTTTGAAGTCTTAATCACTGTATGAAATTATCTTCTGTATGCATATATATGTGTATATATGAGTATGTATACCTACTTATCTGTCTATCTAGCCATCCATGCAGTCAACCATCTCTCCTCTCCCTCCCCCCAGCCCCCCGCTTCCTTCCTTCTCTTGTCACTAGATTGTAAACTCTGAGGGCAGACCCTTTGTACTCCAGGCCTTATATAATAGACACTCAATAACTGTTGGCTCAGCTTCAGAGGTGCAGGCAGTAGTATAGTCAACTGCCGTGCTGAAAGCCATATTGTCGACTGAGGGTTTGGATCCCAAGTTGGCCTGAAACTTGCTTGTGCATGTGCCCAAGATCCTGATGAGCTGGAAGGTTGGAAGAAAGGGATTGCAGCATGATAAGATTCTGTCAGAGAGATTCTCTCTCTTTCTCTCTCTCTCATTTGAAATACATTTGTGAAATACATAAACTTTAAATAAATATTTGTCAATTGACTGTTGTGTAGATACCTGTCAACAATTCTCTAGTCCCTTGTATATCCTATCTACTGGGTGAGACCCTTAATTTATCTTAGCCCTGAGGTGCTGCCACCTATGGGTCTTCTGAAGTATACACAGCGGGACTGTGGAAGTTGTACCATGCAGCATCATAGTCTGCTCCAGGATGTGAGGAGTCAGAAAGCCCAGCCTAGTGAAGCGACATGTCTGGGCCACAATCGTGAATTACTTGTGTTTACCCCTGAGGCTTCCATCTCTTCAAGACATGACCCACCCCTTCCTTCCACTAAAGATCACGCCAAGGAGTGGCAAGAAAAGACTGGCGACACAGGTCTATCTGTAGCTACTTGTTTGAATCCTCAAGTCCAGTATAATGGTCTACTTTGGTCTGAAATAATAAGGAAGGGAGGTTTTAATGAGTCAGGTCTGAAGCCTGGGAGGTTGAGCAAGATGCCAGGAGTCGCTTGGTAGATTCAGTTTCCATTTTCCCTCAACCCTAGCCCAGGGGTTCTTAAACTTTAGAGTGCATTAGAACCTCCTGGGTTCTGGCTGGGCCCCAGCCTTGGTGTTTCTACTTCAGTAGGCCTGGGGTGGATGGAAAGGGTTACATTTCTAATGAGTTTCTTTGTCATGCTGGTGACCACACTTTGAAAACCATGGCCAGCAATTCCTGCAGCAGGCATTGTCCTGATGGCTTCTTACCGTGGCTCCATCTTAACTGGGCAAAAGTCTGGGAGATGGGTGGAGGAGGAGGGAGGAATGGCAGTGCTGTAGAGCTTTTCTAACCCTTAACTCACTGCTAAACAGAGAATTATGGTATAATTTTTAAATAACAAAAATTTTGTTATGAAGTCCCAACAGTATAAAAAAAGAAAAGATAAAAGAAAGAAGAGCAGAATAGATTAGAGTGAAGGAGGAGTGTAAAGTCATGAGTCACCCTCTCTGGCCTTATGACCTCTTGAGCTAGCCTGTGGGCACTTGCCTTAGGATCCTGGGAAACCAGAGCTTCAGGGAGGGAGTGGAAAGAGCAGTAAATCCAGACATGAATTTTTCAGGTTTAAGACCTTGCTCTTTTTTCTAGCTGTGGGGCACAGAAAAATTGCTTAATCCCCCTGAGTCTCCGTTCCCAGACCTGGAAAGTGTGGATGCCATCACAGGCGCACCACTGACCTCACAGACTTGTGGGGAGTGGAGTCCAAATGAGAGAACGTCTACTGACGTGCATGCCACAAAGAGTGCCATGCTATTAAGGGATTGCTCTTGCTTGCCTTGGTGACTACAGGCAGAAGTATGCGGTGCTGGGAATGGGAGGGACAGGGCAACCACAAAGCCTTCCCTGTGGATCCTGCAAGAGTCTGGGAAGCCTGCAAACTTTTCCACGTTTCCAGGATCTTGCATCTGTGCTCTTGAGGGCCTGTGTGCTGACTCTGAGGAGGCCGGGGCCTCTGAGGTCTTCACTCCCTTGGTGGTTGAACATCTCTTTAATGAGTTCAGAGTAGGGACAGAGGGGTGAGGGCACTCTCTTGCCGCCAGGCCACAGAGGAAAAGATCAAAGATCAGACTCTAAGGTGGTCACCTCCTCACTCCCCACAGCTTCCTCAGAAGCAAGGACTCTCCAGATGACCCCTTCCTGACCCCAGCCGACAAAGTCCTACTCTCTCCACTATTATATGCAGCCTCAGGAGAAATGGATATCCAGGCCCTGAGGTTCCTGGCAGCCCGCCCGCTTGGCAGTCTCTACCAGAACAGTCCGTGGAGTACAGACTGCTCCCTGTCTTCTTCCAGTCTAGTCCCTGGAGAGACTCCAATCTCCGAGCTCGAATCTTTCCCTTTTTCTGCTTATCATGGGGAAGGAATATTTGCTGGGGCGTTAAACTGCCAAGGTGCCAGCTGGCATCACACAGTCACACGGCCCCCAGCAGTAGCAGGCCTCAGTTCTCAGTCACACAAAGACCTCAGCAAACTTATCACTGTTTTCATTGACAAGTAGGAAATCCAGAACTGGTCAAGAAGCAGAAGGCACTATGAATTAGAGGCCCAAGTGTAGACAACTAGTGAAACAAGGCAAGACATTCCATTTTATTTATTAAAAAAAAATCTATTCTTCAAACACTTTAACAACCTAAGAGAAGGGTTTAAAGTCAGATAAGAGATGTTTTATGATCTCAATATAACTGCATCTAATAGATACGGCATCTTTTTCTTGGAGGAGAACATTTTACAGCTGAAATACAAGAAAACAGCCTTTTAACCTGCCTTAATGATGAAGGCAAGGCTGAACATGGATTTGTAGGAATCCTCTTTTCCCACCCACAGTACAGCAACTAGGATTGTTCCAACCTTTTAGAGGTGCAGTGGACTTGACCTGGAGCATTTCTTCCAGAAATGGGCTCTCCTGCTGACCATAGTTTCAGGTAAGATACAGGGGAATTGTCAGTACCTCACAAGGCTGCCTTCCCTAATGGTTTACTCTGGTGAAATGAGTTCGTGGAGACCGTTGAGCAGGGCTGCAGAGCCCTCTTGTGGACTTCTGCTTGATCACATTTATTTTAGCTGCCCTTTGAATCTGATGGGCCCTTGGGGTGAGCTTTCATTCCATTAATCATATGGGGGTAGCATTTTGATGGCTCCTTTCAGGCCATAGAAATAGGGGATTAAAGAGGGACCCCGTACCCTCAGCCTGAAGGATAAGAACTGCATCCAATTCACCCTGGTGGTCCCTGGGGCTAGTGGAGTGCTCATACCCAGAAGGTTCATGATAAATGTTGAGAATGAATAAACCAGAGAATTAAATACAGGAATGAAGGCTTCCTCTCCAAGCTGCTAAGACATGTCTAGAAAATCAGAAGTATTGGCAGGCTGTATTCAAAGAGATCTAGAGTAAGGGGTAGAAATGGGAGTTAAAACTGCAAAATTGATAAAGATATTTTTATACAGATGAATACTGAGAGGTGTAAATGGTGTCAAAGACAACTAAAGGGTTTCTTGGGACAAACCCAATGTTAGCAGGGAATAGACCAAATCTAAAGCAGTGGTGGACTGATCACCCTGTAAACATCACACTGTCAAAGGAGGACAGGGGCAGCCCAGTGGCAGCTTTAGAGACAACCGTTTCTGGCTTAATTCCGATCCCAAATATCCCCTCGCCCCTCCACCCACAAAATGTAACTAACCACTGTTTTCCCCCTATGGCTTCTTTTATGAAAGCATTTACCTCTCTCATCTTTTCTATCCCCAGGGTGAAAATGTAGGAAATGACGATCCATTCTTGGGTGGAAGGCCAGCGTTCCATCTTCACTAACACGATATAGTTGAAGAGCATCAGGTATCCGATATATGCCAGCTGTAAGGAAATACAATACAATGCCCTGACTGCTGAGGCCCAGGAGCCCGGGCCTCGGGCAAGGTCACCACCTGGCAGGACAGAAGAAAGTCAGCAGGCAGGACGCAGAATTCGTGACAAAATGCACTGAAAAGCTTTATACTCTCAAGAGGATTTTTAAAAAGACTGTAATATTGAAATTATTTAATATACATTTTTTTTTTTTGCTCTTACATGTGCCCTGTGGCCAATAGTACTTTGTACCTAAGTCATGCTGCATCATTTTGTTTTGCAATTACCTAGTTTCTTGTGTCTTTCTGGCTAAAAAAGGGAAACTTGTCTGTCAGGGGCTGTTCTTGCTCATGCGTGGACCTGAGGTCTTGAATTTAGCAGCACAATGATTTTTGCCTAATGAATTCTAGGCAGATTAAATGTCCATTAGAAAGAAAGGAAAACACAAGAAATACCTGTAAATTGGTCAAACAAACAAAAATAGTGAGGACTTTATCTCAAGGTTCAACTTTAATTCTGAGTTATTGCCTTTTATTTTTTTTTTCCGTTTCTACCTAATGTGCTGGGTTTGTTAGTGCTCTGGGAGGGTTTTACCTATTTTCCATGGTACCATTGTCTTGCCCTATGGAAGCTAGAATACTTTCTATATGTATATATAGAATATGTACGTGTGTGTGTATATATATATATATACACGTGTGTGTGTGTTTAGAGCCTATATATGTACGTATTCTCTCTCTCTTCACACACACACTTAAAACAAGAGAAGACAATTCATAGGAAAGAAGGGGTCAGTGTGGCCTATTGTGGACTGGAATGGCCTTAATCCTCATGAGGTTCTGGCATTAGGGGTTCAATCCTGATGTGACAGGCTAACTTGCTTGGTATCTGGGGAACACTCTTCAGGGTTTAGGCTTGGTGACTGTCACTGGAAGATTCAGACGTGTCTAGGTGAGTGAAGCGTGGAGTGCAGGAAAACTGGTAAGACCCTGAGGAACATGGTAGGTAAGCTAAACCTTCTCTAGGCAATGCCTTAAGTTGAGGAAGATACTGACTAGCCTCAGGGGCCTCAGGGGCCTCAGAGATCTCAGAGACTGTAAGTAGGAAGAGTGAATCTATTCAAGTCTTCTGTACTCTTTGGAGCAGGCAAAGTATAGAACATAATGTGGGCCAAAGAATGGGGGGATTGATGGGTCTCTATGTCTTCCTACCTCCCTTCCTTTCTGCATCTCCCAACACATTGCAGACGCCCAAGGAAAGCCGGCTAATACCATTCACCACTGTTTCAAGATGCTTCTGCTATTCCTCATCTCCTCTAACCTCCTTGCTTTCCTTTGATCCCTGTTAATTAGTCATCCCTCTCCTCTTCTTTTTCTTTTTAGAATTCTTCTCATTTATTGGTTTTGCTTCCTGTGTTCACCATTTTTAGCTCCTGCCTATTCTTTAAATCACAGTTACTCTTCAGTGAACTTTCCCCATAGTCACACTACAATATAATATTTTGGAATGACTCCCCAAAATATAGGCTCTTGAGAATAGAGTTTTAACGTGTCTAAATGGCACAATGGGGGGCTAGCTCCTTCCCTGGGGGAACATATCTCAGAACTCACCCACTTTCATGCTGTCTTGCTGCAGATGATTTTAGCTGACCTGCTATTCGTGTATGTACACATTCTGTAAGCTTTAACAAGCTGTATGCAGAATATCAAAGCTTCTCAACAGAGATATTACCTTATGATTCCCATTTAAGTCAGTGGGAGTCCTATAAGAATTTATCTTTTGGGCCAGCGGGTGGCGTAGTGGTTAAGGCACTGGACTTCCACATAGCTGACCATGGTTTGAGTCCTGGACCTGGCAGCTTGAAGCTCAGGTCAGGTATGTGTGCATGTGTGCCCAAAATCCCGAGAGGAAAATGGAAGAGAAGGGACTGCAGTGTGACCATCCCCTGTGGGGGGTGATTTCTCGCTTTCTGTCTCTCTGTCACTTTAGTGAGTGCACAAGTCCTATAGCAAAACAAAAACAAAAACAAAACTCTAAAAAAATAAAATAATTTATCTTCTATTTGCTTATATCTTCTTTGTATTTATTTTCCATTAACCAAGATGCAGGCTTCCTAAACTATCAAACGTAAGCACCAAAGCCTGCCATGGTTTGCTGCAAATCCCCAGGGGCCTTAGGTATTTTTCACTTCTTTCTGGGCTTTTTCCCACTGCCTCTTAGAGAGCAGAGGGGTCAAGTGAGCTTATAAAGGAAAGAATCTATCAGAGAAACTGCCACACCTTGTTTCCTAACCTGCGGTCACTTCACACCTTGAATCTGAATGCTCTCCAGCTGGATACCTGAAGCGGACTCTCACACAACCAGGGCCTGGGAGCCAGTTGGATCCCTGCCTCCTTTCCTCTTAGAGCAGAGGAGAATCCAGCCTGCAGCTGGGTAAACTTGCTAAGAAGCAGAAGTGAGGTTACATGGAAAGGAGGTATGTCCTGCCTTTCTGAGACTTGGGAGGGTAGAAGGAGGCACTATGGGAGATCAGAGTGAGAAATACTCTTCCAGAGAAGAACGCAGCCCAGAGCAAACACAACCTTCAGTGTAAAGCTGGATTTTATTGTCAAACGTCTCTAGGAATTTAAAAGACTGCTCTACCACGGCTCTGTTTACTTTCTCGAGGGCTGGGTTTTCGCAATACCTGAATCTGGATTTCTGAGGATCACTGTGTAAACACAATGGAGCACACTGGGATCCAGTCTGATGAATCTGTTGAAGTTAACCCAGTCATGTAGAAGAAGAGGGCTGGACACAGGCCAGACCCTCTGGGGCAGCTCCTCAACGTGTCATAAATGATAGAAAAAAAGGAGAGTATGTCCCAAAGTTCCCCATTCATAAGACTCAGGTAGAAGCTTGTTTCTGGAAATTTGATTCGGTGGGTTTACTCTGGAGGCAGGAATTTGCATTTCTAACAAAACCCCTTATTATCATGAAAGTTTTTAGAAATATTGGGCTAAAGACTCCACATTGTCTGGGGCAGTGGTTCTCAACTCTGGCTACTCGTTGCTATCAGCCAGGGAGCAATGAATACCCCGATGCTCAGGAAGCACCCCAGACCAAGGATCTCTGGGAGTGAAGCCCAGGGGTCAGTGGTTTTTGTTCTGTTTTGCTTTGTTTTTGTTTTCAGCTCTCCAGATGATTCCAAGGTGTAGCCAAGGCTGAGAACCACTGGCCAGGGGAATTTGTGTTTTCAAAGCAGTCTTGGCTAATGAATGGCCTCAACTGAGTCAGTAAGGACAGAAGGACTTAAGGAAATAAAATTGATATTGAACATGGATTAAGGATTAAAAAAAAGAGAGATGCCTTGGAAGGATAAGAGAGGTAGACAGGCACTTCATTTGCACAGGTGATGGGTTTTCTTGATATTATTACCCCTACTTTTTCTCTAATGCTCTGTAACAGAAACCTGTGAGCTTCTTCTGCAAAGGGCAAGAAAGTTTACTTTTGGGGCTTTGCGGGTGGGACAGTCACTGTTTTTTTTTTTTTTTTTGGAGAGGTTTTTGCTATAGGGCGCGTGCGCTTGCCAGACAGACAGAGACAGAGAGACAGAAAGCGAGAAATCACCCCCTAGGGGGGATGGTCATGCCACAATCCCTTCTCCTCCATTCTCCTCTCGGGATCTTGGGCACACACGCACACGCTCCCGGCGTAAGTTTTAAGCCACCGGGTCCGGGACACGAACTGCAGTTGACTACGTGGGAGTCCAGCGACATAGCCATTACGCTAACTGCTGGTTCCCCAGTCGCTGTTTTTTTATTAGGTCCTCAGCTCTGTGGTAGCTGGAAGGCAGTCAGGCCAAGGGAAAAAAAATGAGTTTGGCTGTTCTTTTTTTTTTTTTTTGGAGAGGTTTTTGCTATAGGGCGCGTGCGCTTGCCAGACAGACAGAGACAGAGAGACAGAAAGCGAGAAATCACCCCCCAGGGGGGATGGCCACGCAACAATCCCTTCTCTTCCATTCTCCTCTCGGGATCTTGGGCACGCATGCACACGCGCCTGGCGTGAGTTTTAAGCCACCAAGTCTGGGACGCGAACCGCGGTCGACTATGTGGGAGTCCAGCGACATAGCCATTACGCTAACTGCTGGTCCCAGTTTGGCTGTTCTAATCAAACTTTATTTATGGATGCTGAAGTTTGAATCTTGTGTAATTTTCATGTGACACAAAGCATTCTTTTTATCTTCTAAAAGTGTAAAAGCCATTTTTAGCTTACAGTTCCCAGTAACAGGCAGTGGATTGAATTTGGCCCAAGCCTGTAGTTTGCCAAGTTCTGTTGATAGACGGAGGCAGTAAAAGAGGAAGGACAGAGCCAGCAGGTGGCAGAGTGGTTACAGTGCTAGACTCCCACATGGCCGACTGCGGTTTGAGTCCTGGACCTGATGGCTTGAAACTCACACAAGTGGAGGAGAAGGGATTGCTGGGTGGTCATCTCTCTGGGCGATTAATTCTCACTTTCTCTCTTGGTGTCTTACTGCATGTGCCCTATGGCAAAAACAAAAACAAAAACAAAAAACAAAATAAAAAGAAAAGAAGAGAAAGGACAGAATTGGGAATTGGGTATAAACTGGCAGTAAGACTATCACCTTGATAAAGCTGTGGAAAGGATTAAGAAGAGTTTTTTTTTTTTAAGAATTTTTTTATTTAACTTTATTTGTTTATTTATTTTTAAAATTTGACCAGAGAGGGTTAGAGCAAGAGAGAGAGAGAGGAAGAGAGAGCAAGCCACCAGGTCTGGGATTCAAATAGCAGTCGGCCATGTGGGAGTCCAGCAACCTTAACCACCATGCCACCTGGCAGCCCCAAGATTAAGGGGAATTTTTATAAAGTACCTAGAATATTGCCTGAAACCCAGCAGGTGCTCAATAAATGATATTATTATTGAGAGGAGGGGTACAGCACTGATTATCTATCACTGTGCCATGTGACGAGCCCACATGGTAATAGTTACATTTACATTGTGCTTACCTGTCCGAGCACTGTTCTACGTGCTCTCTATATTTTAATACATTTAATCATCACTAAATCCTATAAAATATCTACTATTATAGCCCCCATCTTAAGGTAACTAGACAGGATGGGGAAGTAACCTGCTTCAGGGCCCATACTGCTAAGAGACACAGACGGGGCTTTGGGGTTCCCACCCAGGCTGTCTGACTCTGAAATATATAAATATAAATAGTATTTTGTATGCTTCAGTTATTTTTTCAGGGGGAGGATCTTTTTCTTTTCCTTTCTGTTTATTTTAGTTTTTGCTATAGGGTATGTGTGCTCGCCAGAGAGAGAAGAAAGTGAGAAATCACCTTCTGGGGGGGGGATGGTTATGCCACAGTCTCTTCTCCAGTTTCCTTTGGATTTGGGGCAAGCACACACACATGCCTGATGTGATTTTCAAGGTGCTGGGTTTGGGACTTGAACTGTGCAAATGACCACGTGGGATCCAGTGCCTTAACCTCCATGCCACTCACTAGGCTTCTTCTCTCTCTCTCTCTTTTTTTTTGGAGAGGTTTTTGCTTTAGGATGTGTGTGCTCACCAGAAAGATAGAGAGAGAGAGATAGAAAGCGAGAAATCACCCCCCAGGGGGGATGGCCATGCTGTAATTCCTTCTCCTCCATCCTTCTCTAGGGATCTTGGGCACATATGCACACATGAGTTTAAGCCACTGGGTCCGGGACTCGAATTGCGGTCAACTACATGGGAGTCCAGAGACATAGCCATTATGCCAACTGCTGGTCCCCCTTCTCTTAACATTAGTACATTTGAATTTTTAATTGACTAAATAGAATCTGGTATTTATACATTTTTAGATCTACACCTATTTTGTTAATGTCCCATTCTTTTAAGACTATAGTATAAAGCAACAGTTTTTTATTTTTTTGCAGATGTTCTGCTATAGGGTGCATGTGCTTGCCAGAAAGACAGAGAGACAGAAAGTGAGAAATAACCCCAGGGGGGATGGCCATGCCACAATCCCTTCTCCATTCTCCTCTCGGGATCTTGGGTGCACATGCACTGGGAATGAGTTTAAGCCACCAGGTCTGGGACTTGAACTGTGGTCAACTACATGGGCATCTAGCAACATAGCAATTACACCAACTGCTGGTCCCAAAAGCAACTGTTTTTTAAGTGGTGGCAATTTTATCTTTCAAGGGGGCATTTGGTTATGGCCAGAGACATTCTGGTAGACCTACCTGGGGGCTGGAGAGTGCTCTTGGCATAAGTGGGCAGAGTCCAGTGCTTTGTGTAGGGGATAGACCCCAGAACAAGGAAGCATCCTGCCCAAAATGTCGATTGTGCTGAAGTTGAGAAACGCTGCTTGAAAGCCAGCATTAGTTCGGGGCCAGCAGGCAGCATGGTGGTTAAGGCACTAGACTCTCACATGGCTGACCACAGTTCAAACCCTGGACACAGAGACTTGAAAATCCCACTGGGCATGTGTGCGTGTGCACCCAAAATACCAAGAGGAAAATGGGGGAGAAGGGATTGTGGCATGACCACAGGGGGAATAGCCACGCTGTAATTCCTTTTCTTCCATTCTCCTCTCGAGAGGAGACCATCCCCCCTGCAGGGTGATTTTGCACTTTCCATCTCTCTTGTCTCTCTCTAGTGAGTGCATATACCCTATGGCAAAAATGTTAAAAAAAAAAAAAAAAAAAGGGCTGCATCAGGTGTTAGCACACAGGAGCACACAAGAAGCACCGCATCTGGTCATTCAAGTCGTGTTGGCCTCAGATTCAGATTATCCTGTTACTGACTCAAAGACTACTGTGCAGCCGGTTGTGAAAAAGACTAAAAATACAGACGTGCTATCCTTCACCCGGCACAGCGCCACGGTGGCTGGAGAGAATTGGAGACAACTGGGCCAAGGCTCCCCTTTGGCTTCCAGAATCACTGAAAGGTAGACGTGGAAAACCAGCAGTCCAGCCATTTCCACTCTACCCAGAGGACATTTCGGGGACAACCCATTGTTTTGCAGGCGGAAAATGTTTGGAGTGTGTGCATACCGCCTGATGTGTGTCTTGACTGTAGGTTGCTTTGAGTGTTTTTTGCCTCTTTGGTTTATGTATTGTGTAATTGTGGAAGGCTGTGTGATAACACTAATAGCTTGGGAGTAGTTACACGTGAATGCTACCTTTCTCAAGTGGTGCTGTTTCTGCATTCTCCTCGCCCTTATCCACTAAATGGCCCCCTAACCTAGCCCAGGCCTCTAAAATGGGGAGCTCTTATCTGATGTTCATTTATTCAGAACAGGGATATATTCTGAAAAACAATATTTAGGGGACCAGCAGTTAGCATAATGGCTATGTCGCTGGGCTCCCATGTAGTCGACCATGGATCCCAAGAGGAGAATGGAGGAGAAGGGATTGCGGTGTGGCCATCCCCCCTGGGGGGTGATTTCTCGCTTTCTGCCTTTCTAGCTCTCTCAGTCTTTCTGGCTAGTGCACGTGCCTATAACAAAAACCTCTCAAAAAAAAAAAAAAAAAAAGATATCTACTTTCCTGCTAGATTAGACTCACACTCATCTCACTTCTATTTCTATTCGTTCTTACTTTTTCCATTCCCTTTTTTTCCTGAGAGGAGGAGAACCGTAGCCTGCGGAAGCTGCCTCACAAACGCCACAAACCTTGCAAAGCCATTGCAAAAGCAAGGTCACAGAGCTTTCATTCCTGCATGTGTGTTACTTCTAGGATGCCTCACAGAGAAAACCACGCCGGTGCAGGAGAAATGGAGGTGGACTCCTCGTGGTCATCCACTAGGAAGGAAAAAAAGAAAAGATGCTTACAGTGTAGAACCAGAACTTCACGATGGGTGCGTTGTAGAATTCATAGATTTTTCTGCCCAGAGGGATTAACCGGTGCCTGCTCTGAACTTCCTCTTCATCCTTTTTCCTGGAGGACTCCCCGTTGTTTCGTCCTAGCATTGCCTACAGTGGAAGAGAATCAAAACCATCATGGCAGAGCTCTGGAGAGCACGTCGTTCATTTTACAGAGGAGGAAGGGGTTCTCAAAGAACCTCAGAACTCACAGAACCTAAGAACCCAAGGCCTCCTGATAAGCAGGGATTGCACCTCCCGGTGTGCATTTGTACTACACATATTACTCTTTGCTTGGGATTGAAGGTCTTGGATATAGTTTTTGATCATTCTCTTCTTTTCCACCCAAGGACCTTTGTAAGATGTGGCTGAGAGAAGGTACCCAGGGTTCTGAGAGGAAGAATCGAGTCTTTCTTCCCATTTATATCATGAAGCAGGCTAGATCTGAATTCAAAATCTGTCTCCACCCATGCTAATGACCTATAAATCAGAGGTAAATTGGATCAGACTATTGAAATTGTCCAAAGGTTATGAATATTCAATATGTAAGTTATCTGAAGTGTCTGAAGCTTTTTTAGGGCTATCTCCCTAATCCTTAGGGTACATGCCTCGGTTCTCTCATTTCAAACCCTGTTCAAGTTGAATCACTGCTGGTATTGGTGTGGTGACTCCTGGACACACCGCCTTCATCTGCAAATAGGTGGGGTTAGGGAAGGAGTCTAGTCAGGCCAGACCTGGAGAAGTTCTCATCTTCAAGTTTCCTTCAGAAGGGAAGTGTTTCCTTCTCATTCATGCTAACAGCAGTAACAAAAGCAATTAATAATGTAACATTACAAAAACAAAACAAAAACCAGAACTTGAGAAAAGGCAGACATATTCTTGTAGAGATAGCAAGGGACAGGATGTCCCCAAGATACTGAAGTTTCCAATGATGAGGAGTCCCTGGCTTTGGTTACTCAGATGGGCGACTAAATCCTAATCTAGACATATGGAAGCTGTGGCATCTTGGTCAAGTGTTTTAACCTCTCTGAGGCCAACTTTCTTTCAGTAACTATAAAATATAGGTAATAAGAGCATCTGCTATAGTGTTGGTCTATAAATCAGTTAGCTTTCAGCACTTAATAAGTGTTCGATAAATCTTAGGGAGTCTTTCAAGTGAACTGAGACCTTATTGGATACTCTTGACTGAAATGATCTATTTGGGATCTCTCATGAAAATAAAAGTGTATTATTAGAGGCTAAAACAGAAGTATTTCTGGACTTTAATTCTGCAATTTTTTTTTTTATAGATTTTTTGTTATAGGGCACATGTGCTCGCCAGAGAGACAGAAAGCGAGAAATCACGCCCTAGGGGGGATGACCATACCGCAATCCCTTCTCCTCCACTGTCCTCTTGGGATCTTGGTAACGCACGCACACGTGCCAGGCGTGAGATTAAGCCACCGGGTCCGGGACTCAAACCACGGTTGACTACATGGGAGTTCAGTGACATAGCCATTATGCCAGCTGCTGGTCCCAATTTTGCAATATTTTAAGACAAGGTAAATCCCACAATATTTGGAAAATGAGATTTTTATTAAGTGTGACAACAGAGTAAGACTTTATAACTGCTCAAGACTGACAAAGATTTGGCATAAGACCGAGTACTGGGATTATGAGTTTAAAACTGAGAAATTCAATTATAGAAATAATTTAAGTTTTTCGTCTTGAAGTCGAAAATTATGACAACCACTAGGTAATTTTGATTTCAAACTACCTTACCTACAATACATAAATACTAATTTCAGCTGCTTAGATTGTTGTCACAACCACTTTACTCAAATATGTAACAATCACAAATCATTTGCTTGTAACCAATAGGATTTATGGAGAAGATGACCTCCATTCCTTTTTGGCCCCTCTGGTTAGGAAAGTATGTTCAGTTAAAGAATAAGTAAGATTTCATATTAGGGCCTATCTAAATGTTTATTTTGATCAGTGGTCTGAGTTCATCTTCATGATGGATGTAACTAACGTACTAGACAGCAATAGAGCTTTCTATAAATGCTGATCACTGACTTCAAGAAACTCTGAGGTTAAATGATATTTCTTGTATGATTTATAATTTATGTAACATGATTCTGCTTCTGTACTAATTTATTTGCTTGACAATACAATGGCATTTGGGAACACGATATGGTGGAAATAAAAGCAGGTTGGAGGTTTTTAGGTATCTTGGAGAGTGGCATTTTGGGACAACCTGTAGGGATGGGGGTTGTCCCAGCATCCACAGCTGGCTCTGTGAACTTGTTGGGACTTTACTAGGCAGAGGGCGAGGTGGAGACATCTATCTGGCAATGCAGGCAAAACAAAAACAGAAACATAGGGGATCAGCAGTTAGCGTAATGGCTATGTCGCTGGACTCCCATGTAGTCGACCACGGTTCGAGTCTTAGACAAGGCGGCTTAAACTCATGCTGAGTGCATGTGCGTGCGTGCCCAAGATTCAGAGAGGAGAATGGAGGAGAAGGGATTGCGGCTGGCCATCCCCCCTGGGGGGTGATTTCTCGCTTTCTGTCTCTCTGTCTCCCTCTGTCTTTCTGGGGAGCACACACCCTATAGCAAAAACCTCTCCAAAAAAAGAAAAAATAAAACAACAACAAAAGAAACCCCAGAAACATAGCAACCTGTTTTTTGCCTTTATTATTCAGATGTATTCCAAGTGAGTGCATTTGTAAAAGACTTGCCTTTCCTGGGTTTAAGTAAAGCATTTTTGACATTTCATTAATTCCAGCCTAAGCAGCTTAAGTTGCTGATTTTGTTGATTTCTTCTTCCTGCAGTCAAACATTTCTTTTGCCATTCCTTAAAACAGAATTTAACAGGGTCAAATACAGACAAAACTGCACAATACTGATTTGAGAATCTTTGCAGGCTGGACATAGAATGTCAAGGCTGAGAACTATGCTTCCAAAGGCTAAGAAAATAAGTAAACTGAGGCTGATATTTTGCGCACAGTTTCAAATGGGCCAAAGGAAAACGTCCCATTCCAAAGGAAGATATATTGGTTTAACACAATCAAATAGCAATCCTATGACAGGACTGAGGGTATCAACAAGCTGCTCTGCGAGAGGGTGTGTGTGCACAAAATCCCCAGAGGAAAATGGAGAAGGGATTTTGGTATAGCCATTCCCCGCCACCCCTTGTGTGTGGGGTGGTTTCTCTCTTTCTGTCTCTCTGTTTCTTTTTTGTCTCTCTGGCAAGTGCACGTGTCCCTATAGCAAAAATCTCTTTAAAAATCTGTTGTGTAATCTTGACTTTGCCAATCCCTAAGGCCCTTCTTTCCTTTCCTTTTCTTTCCTTTTTCCTACTATGTCTACCTTTCCTTTTCTCTGTGTATTCTGTGGCGAATAAGCTCAGGCAGGAATACTGCTGAGGGGCCTTCTACTTGGGTTCTCAGTAGCCAGTACTATAATATTCTCTGGTAAGTAGACTTTGCTCTTAGACTAGAGAAATGTCTTGTATTGTGGTTTATTGAAGAAGCTGGTCCTCAAAGTTCTAGGCTGAGTAGGAGAAGCTACCTCCCTTCATAGTTGTAGGTTTTTTTTTTTTTTTTTTTTTTTTTTTTTTTTTTGTGGTTGTTGTGTGTTTTGTATGTTTGCTTGTTTGTTTGTTTTTTCTCCCTGAGACCTAACCAGACAGAACAGTGATTCAGTTTCTGATTGACCTCCTAGGATGTATGCTGAGCTCAGGGCCATGTTACATTTGACTCAGGAGGCCCGCATATCACTTTCGGATTTCCCTCTGCCATGGGGTGAACCAAACTAGCTAAGCTTCTACTTTTGAGAATAGGGAGAAATGATCTCCTTTAGCCTATTGGCTAACAGCATGGCCAGTGGAGTTTACATGCCTAGATTCTAACCCCAGCTTTGCAATGAATTATCTTGGTGAACTCAGGCAATTTAACATCTCTGAGTCTCAGCTTTCTCATCTGTAAAGTGAGGAGAATGATGGTGCCTACCTTATGGGGCTGTTGTGAGGATCCCATGAGTAAAGTATATGTAAGTACTTAGCATTGGGATATCAATATCAGTGGGCAATCACCAATGTCTACGGTGCGCCAGTCACCAATCTAAGTAGTTTGTGTGTACACCTTTTCATTATTTTTATTTTTTTGAGAGAGATTTTTGCTATAGGGCATGTGTACTAGCTGTAGAGAGATAGAAAGCGAGAAATCACCCCTTAGGAGGGATGGTCACACCACAATTCCTTTCCTCCATTCTCCTCTGGGGATTTTGGGCATGCATGCACATGTGCTTGGCATGAGTTTCAATCTGCTGGGTCTGGGACTCAAGCTGTGGTTGACTACATGGGAGTCCAGCGACCTAACCGTTACACCATCTGCTGCCCACACTTTTAAAATTTTTTTTTATTTTTAAAAGATTTTTGCTACAGGGTATCTGTGTTTGCAGGGAAGAAATAGAGAGAGACAGAAAGAGGGAAAGTAGAATCACCTCCCATGGGGATGACACATTGCAATCCCTTCTCCTCTATGCTCCTCCATGTCCCTCTTGGGATTTTGGGCATACACACATGTACCCAGAGTGTTTTCCAAGCTGCTGGATCCAGGACTTGAACTGCAGGGTTGGCCATGTGGGATCCAACACCTTAACCACGATGCCACCTACTGGCTCAAATGTACACTTTTTAAACCACACAATTACTTGTGAGGTTGGTAGTCTTAGTGTTCCCATGTTAGAGGTTTTGCTATTGTGCCCAAAGTCACATAGCAAGTTGGTGAGGAGGCAAGATTTCGGCTCCAGAGTATACTCTTTACCTCTCACTGAAATAGTTAATGAGGATTTGGTATCATTGTTACCACTGTTTCTGCTAATGATTTCAATACCGTTTCCTATCCTTGAAGGGGTTCAAAGGCCAAGATCATGGTAAGATCTTCAGGGAACTTAGTCATCTGATGCTCTTATAGAGGTAAGCAGATTATTCCACAGTTGTTTTTTGTTTTTGTTTTTTAAAATAAGGATCTTGAAACTTGAAACAAAAGTTGACTTTTGCTTCAGTGAGTCGGGGATTGTGCCTGTAAACAGAACTTCAGGAAGGGCTTACTGGAAGGAAATATTGTTTATCTGGAGGAAAAATGATTCACATGGTGGTCCCACTAGGATCATAATGCAAAGGCCTTTGTCACCTGAGCAAAAGCAATTTTTGTTTCTTCTCTTACAACTTCTTCTGGGTCATTGGCCAGGGCCGTGAGGGGTGTGAGGAACACCAAGAAAGTCCTTATGGAGTTGTTGCCTGATGTCTCCCAAGCTATGAAGTCTTGTTTGTCCCTTTAATAGCATGTGATATTTTTAGCCTTTGGATTCAAGCCAATGGCAGTCATGCTGCTCAGGCGGGAGTTGTGGGAAGCCGTCCCATGCCTCGCTGCCCCCTTCCCTCTGCAGAGCAAAGCATCCGTGCTCTATAATTATAGCAGGAAGAGCTAATAAAAGCTTTCCATACAAACCTCCAAATTCAATTAGCCCTGTATTTGTGAGCCTGACCCCAAAGAGATCCAGGCTTAGCTTCTGATCAGCAGAACAGTTCCAACTCAGTGAAGCCGGTTGCTTCCAAATCATGGGTTCCCTTTCTTCTTTGTGTGCTAAGGCTGGCTGTCACGTAATCTGGTTGTTTATGAAGCTTTGCTTGTTTGGAAAATTTAGGATGCCTTGCTTTTGAATTTCATTGATTTGTCCTGTATCTCTGAAACTGGCTGAAGGATTTTAGATACAGTCAGGCTCTACGTTATTTGCACATAGAGAGGGAACCCTGGTCTCAATACTTAATGGAAGCATGCCATGATTAGACCTGGTGGGAGGCTGGGGAACAGCTGTCTGACCTCTAGAGTGCCTGAATCTTAAGCAATACCAGCAGCACAAACCTATTACGGGTTTTCCCCAGGGAGAGTAGCTACATAGTATTTTCTTCTAGTGTTTTCTTACTGTCAGTTCCATGTCCTCTTCATCTTTTTCCTTTGTGGGCTTCTCTGGTTCTTCTTGTTCCTTCTCTTGAAGATGGATTTCCTGGGCCTGAGACATGTAGGGCATGTCGTCTTTGTTCTTGAACTCCAAGCTGAGAATTGAAGGAGGAAGTAGAATTCCCAGAATTACCTAAAGTAATAATAATGATAATAATAATAATCACATTCAAAGGATTAAGATTAGGACGGTTGTTTAGAATCAGAGCGCCTGGGGTGTGATGTATGAGAGAGAGTGTCTGTGTGTGTGTGTGTGCATGCACGTGTGTGCACACATGATGTGTGTCTCGTGTGGGGACCTGGAAAGATGAATAGCTACACACATTACTACTAAGAGGACCATTTTGTCCCATCTGGGAAGTGTTTTGCACAGTAGCTCAGTTTAATTTTTGGAAAAACAAAGCATTTTGTCCAAATATATCTGACCCATTAATATCTACTTTGCATGGGAGAAACAGAAAAAAGAGAGACCCTATTCAGGGCAAAAATAGGAAAGAATTAAGATTCCCATTTTGCTGTGGGACAGCACTTGACTTTGACTGTGAAATCAATTCATACATATGTCCATTGGCATTTATTTGCTAATGAGTCCAGTGGAGTTGATTGTGTGCTCTCTGATTATCTCTGTAAAAATAAATGCTGTCCTAAATTGACCTTGATAAAGGAAAGCATTTTATTCATTCCAGAGCATTCCCCTGGAACTCAACGACTGTACGACTTACACACACACACACACACACACACACACACGTCATGCACTCTCAGTGGGCTCTGTATTCACCAAGAGAACCTCCTTGCACAAACACCCAGGAGGGGCCAGCACTGTGTTTCTCTCCTGTGTAACACTGTGCAGAAATCTCAGTGTGAGGAGACTAAACACTTAAGTCTCTCTCCTGAGAGGGCAATTTCATTCTCTCTGTTGGGCGTCAGGATTAAATGCATTTCTGAGTGATCACACTGACATTTGCCTTGTGTTCCCAATTTTCTCCCACTTCTTCTCTCAATCCTAAGGTAGTGTTAGGGCACGAGGCTTCTGAAAATGAGCTTCGTTGAAGAAACTGCTCCAAGATGAGAAGAAGAAAGTTCCTGAGTGGTCAGTAAAAATGATTCTCAAGTAATGGGGCAGGGACAGTTTGTGCTTGAATGCCCATGAGGACTGAGAGCAGTTAAGAGAAAAGGGACAGGAATGACCCTGGATTCTGAGTGCCTGGCAGGCCTGGAAAGGCTCAGGTGGCATGTTGGCAGTCTGCAGGGGACATGACACGCTGTCCTCAGAGCTGAGGGCTGGCTTGGCTCCCTGCCTGAGGTCAGGCTTGGCAGTCACAGCCATGGAACACCCGTGACCCACTTCATGAAACCCTTCTGTGACCCTGGACCAAGAGCTCACGGGAAGGATGGGGTAGGGATTCAAGACAAGGGTGGTTATGGGTAGGGTGGAGGAAGTGGGGGAGGTAGGCCTGAGGATGCAGTTTCAGATTCGTAGAATGAGTAAGTCTAGAGAGCGAATGCACAGCATGAGGCTCTCCTTACAACATTGCTTTGTATACTGGAAATTTGCATGAGAGATTTTAGGTGCTCTTACACACACAAAAGGTAACTATACAAGATGATGTATTTGTTAGTTTGCTTGACTATGGTAACCATTTTACTATATGAAGGTCAAAACATCATGTTGTACCTCTTAAATATATGCAGTTATAAAAAAAAGGCATCACAAAAAAGCAAGCAAACCCCCCCCACATTCATTCAATCTTTTATCTTCCCATTTTTCTCCTTCTTCTGCTTCTGTTTAATGTTTTCTTTGGAAAACACTGAAAGAAAATGTAAGAAAGGCAAAAGCTATGCACCCTCTTACTTCTGCCCCCCCCCCTCTGGTTTTTGTCACAGGTCACGTGCATTTATCAGAGAGAGACAGAGAGAAAGTGACATATCACAATCCTTTCTACTCCACTCTTCTCTCAGGATTTTGGGCATGCACACACATATGCCCAGGGCAATTTTCAAACCACAGGGTCTGGGACTTAAACTATGTTTGGCCATGTGGGAATCCATTGCTTTAACCACTATGCAACCTACTGGTCCCATCTTGTTTCTCTTAAAAACAGTATTAAGTCCCTTACATTGCCCATTTGACATCGGAAGTCATCACTGGAAAGAATCTACTATATGTCCCTCCTTTAAAAAAAAAATTATGTAGACATAACTATACATATACATGCTTAAAGAAAAGGGCCACAGGTTATACAGACAGCTTTTCTTTATTTAAGAAGAGAGGGCTGGCCAGGTGGTGTGGTGATTTGGGTGGCTGGACCCCATATGGCCAAATGCAGGATTGGAGTCCAAAACCCAGCAGCCTGAAAAACATATCAGTGTATGTGTGCATACCTGTGCAAAATCCTAAGAGGAGTATGGAGGAGAAGGGATTGAGGCATGGCCATCCCCCCATGCGGTGAGTTCTCACTTTCCCTCTCACTTTCCCTTTTTCTCTCATCCCTCCAAAGTGAGCATACATACTCTATAGCAAGCCATATATGAACAAATAAAGGGCTGGCCCAGGGGTCCAGTGGTTAAAGGAGCCTGATCCCACAAGACTGACTACACAGTTCAAATCCTGGCCCTGGAAGCTTGAAAAACAGGCTGGGTACATGTACAAATGTGCCAAAATCCCAACAAGATGGAGAAATAGGGGAGAGGGGATTGAGATATGACCATATGCCATCAGGGATGCCTTCTCTCTTTCTCTCCCTCTTTGTTTCTGGTAGGTGCATGCACCCTCTGACAAAATATAAAATAAAATAAAATAAATAAAAGGAATAGATTGGGGGCTGGTCCTGTAACCTCGTGGTTAAAGGGAGCCAGCTCCCACGTGGCCAACTGCACTTTGGGTTCTGGCTCTGGCAGTTGGAGAAACACACTGGGCACAAGGGCATGTAGGCCCTGAATCTCTCTGGGATGGAGGAATGGAAGAGAAGGGACTGTAGTATGATCATGCTCCACTAGGGGGTGCTTCCTCCCTTCCCCACCTTTGTCACTGCTCAGTGCAAGTGCCCTCTGGCAATTAAAGAAGAAAAAATTATATGTCAGCACTATCTAGTCACATTTTTCTACAGAACTCTTTCTCACTTTTAATTTAGTTTTAAAAATGTCTCAAACACATCTGGTAAGAGCCAATGTCTTTTTATAACATGCTGCAAAGGAGGGCCAGGAGTTCTGGCTCCCAGCTGGTGAAAGGTAAGGAATCTTGGGGCAATGTGGCTTGTGTCAGAGCAAATGGCACCTCCTACGGTACCCTGTGTGACTATCATCTTTGGATCTCCTGAAAAATAGTGGCTAAATGCCATCTTAAAAGATTCTGACTCACAGTGGGGAATTAGAAGCACCCTCCTGAGAAAGGAAATGTCCAATCCCACTGCAGATTTGGCTTGGGAAACAACTAACCCTCTGGCCCTCATAATCAACGGGGCCTCCTTGGGTGCACTGACCTTGAGGCCTGAGTTCTTGCGCATGCGGAGCCGGCCCATCCACATGTCGGTGAGCAGCATCTGGCTACACGTGTGTGCGATGAAGTCGCGGTGCTTGGCGGCCACAGCGAGCTGCAGGCATGTAGCATTGCTCCAGTTTTTCAACTCATATGTCAGCAGTTTCATGGCCAGCTGCTCATCCTGTTTGTAGGACTGGTCCAAGAGCTCCACTGCCAGCTGGCCAAAGTCCCTGAAAGAATGTGCAGAAGCATCCTTCAGGCCAGCTTGGAGACTTAGGTGACAAAATCGGGGACCCACTGGCAGACCATAGAAGATGCTTGCTGTGTGGTATAGTTGTTTCCTGTGGGGATCCAGGCTGTTCATAAAGTCATCTAGCCCACATCCACTGAACACCTACTCCGTGCCAGATGCCATGTTTAGAACTTGGGTATAGGTCAGAGGAGGCATGGTTCCTGCACTCAAGGCCTCCAATATAAGGCATATGGGTGGGAAAGGCAGGCCAAGCCATGATCAGAGTGCAGTCTGTCTTCTTTTTTTTTTTTGAGAGGTTTTTACTATAGGGTGTGTGTGCTCGCCAGACAGACAGAGAGAGACAGAGAGACAGAAAGTGAGAAATCCCCCCCCCCCCCGGGGGGAATCACCCCCCCCCCCGGGGGGTGGGCCATGCCACAATCCCTTCTCCTCCATTCTCTTCTCAGGATTTTGGGCACGCATGCACACGTGCCTGGCGTAAGTTTAAGCCACCGGGGTCTGGGACTCAAACTGCGGTTGACTACCTGGGAGTCCAGCAACATAGCCATTACGCTAACTGCTGGTCCCTAGTCTGTCTTCTTAAATGTGATGGCACTCAGTTCTAATCTCAGCCTTGCCAGTCACAAGTGTAGGCTATTGTACAAGTTACTTCAGTTCTTTGAGTCTCATTTTCCTCAGCGGAAAAATGTGCATAATAATAGAACATACCTCTTGGGGTAGTTGAGAGAATTAAATAAAAGTTTCTACACGTAAGGGGTCTTAAATAGTTCATGGACAACGTGTATTATGAAAAAGCTATGCAGGGACTTAAAAAATTAAAAAAAATTTCTACGGGGAACATGCACTTCTCAGAGAGAGAGAGAGAGAGAGAGAGAGAGAGAGAGAGAGAGAGAGAGAGAGAGAGAGAGAGAGAGAGAGAGAGAGAGAGAGAGAGAGAGAGAGAGAGAGAAAGCATCCTCCAGGGTATGGCCACGCCGCAATCTCTTCTCCTTCATCTCTTGCTCCTTCAGAGATTTTGGGTATGTATGTGCATGCACTGTCTTTCAAGCTGGAGAGTCTGGGACTTGAAATGCACAGTTGGCCATGTGGGATTCAGCCACCTTAACCATCCTGTGACCAGCAGGCCCTCAAAATTATTTTTTGTACCAAAATAGACTTGAACTTTAATTGCATTCATCTGTGAACCTTTTTTTTTTTTTTTAAGATTTAGTTATTTAATTTTTTCTTTTTTTTTTTTTTTTTTGGAGAAGTTTTTGCTATAGGGCACGTGCACTTGCCAGAAAGACAGAGAGAGAGAGGGAGACAGAAAGCGAGAAATCACCCCCCGGGGACATGGCCATGCTGCAATCTCTTCTTCTCCATTCTCTTCTCGGGATCTTGGGCATGCACACACACGTGCCTGGTGTGAATTTAAGCCACCGGGTCCAGGTGGCTTGAACAGCGGTCAACTACCTGGGAGTCCAGCAACATAGCTATTACTCTAACTGCTGGTCCCAAGATTTAGTTATTTAATTTTATTTATTATTATTAGGTTGTCCGGAAAGTCATGACACATTTTGCATAGAAAAATATGTCATGACTTTCCGGACAACTCAATATTTTTTAAAAATTTGCTATAGGGCATGGGTAATCTCTAGACAGAGACAGAGAGGGAGAGAGAGAAAAGAGAAGGAAAGTAAGAAGCAAAGCAAGCAGCCAGGTCTGGGACTTGAACTATGGTCAACCATGTGGAAGTCTAGTGCCTTAACCATCACACCACCTGGCAATCGCTCTCCATGAACTTTTTTTTTTTGGAGAGGTTTTTGCTATAGGGTGTGTGCGCTCACCAGAAAGACAGAGAGAGACAGACAGAAAGTGAGAAATCACCCCCCCACGAGTGTTGGCCATGCTGCAATCTTTTCTCCTCCATTTTCCTCTAGGGATCTTGGGCATGCACGCACACGTGTCTGGCGTGAGTTTAAGTCATCAGGTCCGGGACTCAAACTGTGGTCGACTATATGGGAGTCCAGTGACACAGCGATTATGCCAACTGCTGGTCCCCCTCTCCATGAACTTTTAAAAGTCCCCTTATATCTGTGCTTCCACATATAACTGTGCATAGAAAGGCTAATTATACAGGCTGCCTTCGATGTATACTATTGGGCAACACTGCCTCCTGTTAAGGTTTTGGGTACCTCAGACCTGCAAGTATTTGGAGCCCACTTTCCCTTCTCTTCCCCTGACCACCTTGTTTGCTGGGCTGGCCAACCTGGAGTTGTGGTTCAGCTCCTGAGAAATGTCATCCACCATGTCATTCTCGGAGGCCTCATGAGCCATGGCCTTGCAGAGTTTACAAGCCACCAGAGCCTTGGCCATGGCCTCTTCCCCATGCTGCCAGAAAAACAGGGCCATCTTCTGTCGCTTCATGAGAACAGCCCACACCATCAGCTCATGGAAAGGGAAAGGGAAGTGGTTGATCTCAGGGTCATCCAAGTCAATGTCCACCTCTTCCTCACGCTTCTTAGTTGTCTTTCTTCCTCGCCTCAAGGGAATATCATCCTGTCATTTTAAAGACAAAACAGGGGGACTGAATTAAAAATGAGTCAGTTCCATTCAGTAAGTTACTGCATATCGTCTACTGGTTCAGCTCTGGGGCCAGTACTGAAATGAACTAGGCCAGCTCCTATTCTAAAAGAACTCACAAGCCTAGCTAAGCCTGACTGTACAACAAATGATAATGAATGCATAAGCACAGTCCTTGGGAAACATGCCAGTACTATACTTTAATTTTGGAAATGATTACTACTTTTTCTTTCTTTATGATAGTGTGTTTGCACACGCACATAAGGAGAAAGAGATGAATGCCCTCCATGGGTCTGGTCGTGCTGCAGTCCCTTTCCTCCAGTCCTCCAGCCAGTTGGATCCTGGGCACTTACATGTGTTCCTGGCACGCGTCAGGCCGACTGGGTTGGAGATTTGAACCACAGTCATCATCTGGGTTCTGGCCTCTCTTGAGCAGCATATTACTGCGGCACCATGGAGCTGGCCCTATGATTTATTTCATAATGGGCAGTTTTCTTTTTACTTTTGTCCATATTTTTCTTCTATAGGCATATTTATCTTCTGTAGGTTGTTTCTACCTCATGATGGACAGCACTACCCTTCTGGCAAGTATAATAGTCTACACTTGCATTTGCATATACGCCCACAACGGCATAATCAGAAGATGAGAAACATAATCTATCCCTAGTTTCTGCAAACCTGGTAGATGCATCTGTAAGGTAGTTCTGCCTTAGGATCTGCTGCTATTGGTAAACACCCATGAATAGATTTCACCTACTAGAATTTATGTTTCCTTGCTTTTTAAGTTAGCATTTCAATTAAAATTTACTCATTTATTTTTGTTTGCAATGCTAACATAACCTCATGGTAGAATTTTCAAAGCTACTGTGAGCTAACCTATGACACTTAAAAAATTTTTATTTCCTAATTTTATAGTCATATGCTAAGCTCTATCACTGAAATGAACATATACTAAGCTCTATCACTGAAATGAATATATATGTATATATGCATATATATTCATATATACACATATGCATATTCATATATGTATATATCAACATATATTCATATATACATATTCATATATGTATATATCCACATATATACATATATACACTCATATAGATGTATATACGAATATATATACACATATATATAAATAAAATTAAGACCAGTAATTTGAGCAAATACCTACCTCCATTCCCAGCAGTTTTAAGGCTTTGGGCTGTTAAAAAAAATGTGAATAAAATTAGATCTTTTTTTCATACAGGTAAGAAAATTTTTATTTCCTTATTTTATAGTCATATACTAAATTCTATCACTGAAATGAATATATATGTATATATATACAAATTCATATATACATATGTACATATTCATATATATATATATATATACACATATATACGTAATGTGTATATACATATATATGTGTATATAGAGTCTAATTATATCTTAAACAGGTAAGAACTCTATTGTTCCATACAGTTTTTGTTTTGTTTTTATTAAGTGAAATACTATATGGGGAACCTATTTCTAAAAATTTTAAGGGAACTGTGTATTTAATGTTTTGTGTGATTTAGAAAAAGTTAGGAAACTGGAGGGTAACAGTGAGATTGCCTAAGGGTAGAAACTACAGGTTTATAAAGTCTTTTATGGAACAAGAGTTCCTTTTCTGTCTTCTAACCAACATGCTTGACCAACACACCTCCTTGACCAGCAGTACTTGAATGAATGCCATGGTCTGAATGTTTGTTCTTCTTTCTGCCTAATTTGTATGTTCAAATCTTGACCCCCAAATGATGGTATTAGGAGGTGGGCCCTTGGGGAGGTGATGAGGTGAATAGGGTGAATCAGTGCCCTTGTGAAAGAGGCCCATAGAAGTTCATTTGCCCTTTGTGCCATGTAAGGACAGAGAGAAGATGACATCTATGAACCAAGAAATGGGCTCTCACCAAACACTGAATCTGTTGGTACCTTGATCTTGGACTTCCCAGACTCCAGAACTGTGAGAAATAAGTTTCCACTGTGTATAAGTCTGCCATTTTATGGTATGTTGTCTTAGCAGTCTGAATAGGCTAAGTCAAGAGGGATAAAACATACACTCAAACAGATCAAACCAGATATTTCTCAAACCTCTTGGAAACCTCTATTATATGGAGACTTGGTATATTACTCAAAAATGTCTGTTATGCTGGACAATCCCCTATGCTGCTACCCAGTAGAGTGAGGTGAGTAGGACCAGATGAATGTGCTGATGGTGGTAAAAGACACTCAGTGGCATGGAAAGTATCACAAGGCAGAAGCACTGGCCACCCTGGGAATGTGCAAAATAGACCCAGACTGAGACAGAGAAGGCATCTCAGCAAATTACAGGACTTGATTTATATGATTTATATTTAACATAAGGGAGATATAAAATTTTGTCTTGTGGGTCAGGAGTACCAATTCTATACTTTCAAATAGTACAGAAGGGTTGGCTGCCATGTTGAAAGTTATTTGAGTAAATAATAAGCTTATAACATTTATATTTCCTCCAAATTTTGACTGTTTGAGTTGCAATAGCTTGAAACTAGTTTCTCTCTCTTTCTTTTTCTTTTAGTTTCTAACATGACCACCAGTATTAAAAATCTGTTTTTTTTTTTTTAATGCTTTTTGGCGTTTTCAAAATTCTCTACAAGTCACACAAAATTCTTTCATAATCAGAAAAGGGCTTGTTAAAAATTATGCTCTCAAGACCAACAGATGGGGTAGCGGTTATGTCATTGGACTTTAACACGGCTGACTGCAGTTTGAGTCCCGTACCCAGAGGCTTAAAACTCATGCTGGGCGTGTGTATGTGTGTGCCCAAAATCCTGAGAGGAGAATGGAGGAGAAGGGATTGTAGTGTGGCCATCACCCTTGGGGGAATGATTTATTGCTTTCTGTCTCTCTGTCTCTCCAGTGAGCACATATGCCCTATAACAAAAATCTTTCTTAAAAAATTATGCTTTCAGGACCCGCAGGTAATGTGATGGTTATGGTGGCTGGATCTAACATGGCTGACACTGTGGTTCAAGACCTGGACCCAGTAGCTTGAAAAATCATGCCAGGCATGTGTGGATGAAGGCCTAATTCCTGAGAGGTGAATGCAGGAGGAGGGACTGCAGCATGGCCATGCCCCCTGAGGGGTGATTTCTTATTTTTTCTCTCTCTAGAAAGGGCACATACCTTGCAGCAGGAAAAAAGAAATAATTGCTCACTACCACACTACCAGCTGAAGCAGCCATTGTAAAATCGTGCTCCATGGATTGAGGTCAACACTATTTTTGTAATAATGCTAAGATGGAACTGGGTTTTGACACTGTGTTAACTTTTGCACTAACGGCAAAAAGCAGTGGTGAGTAAAACTACTGGATGCCTTCGCCCGAATGAAGGCGGTGGTACCAAATTTCAGTAGATGGCATTAGACTCCACTGATTGGACTTTTCAGAAAAACAACAACAAACAAAATCTCCAAGACAATTTCAGTTAAGAATGTCCTTGACCAGGCTGACCCTGTAGCCTAGTGGTTGAGGGAGGTGGATCCCATGTGGCCAACTGTGCAGTTTGAGTCCTGGCCCGGATGGCTGGAAAAACAAGCTGGGTGCATGTGCATGTGTGCCCAAAATCCTGAAAGGAGGGAAAATAGAGGAGAAAGGATTGTGCTATGACTACACCCCATTTGGGGTGTTTTCTCCCTCTCTCTGTTTCTCTGATGAGCACACACAATTTGGCAAAAAAAAAAAAAATCTTGATGATGTTTAAAATAATTATTAGCTTTATTAAATCTGTATTATTGATAACATGTACTTTTACTATTCTGTGTGATGAAATGGGAAGTATGCCTTGGGGCTGGGAGGTGGTGTGGTGGATAAGGCAGCTGGATTTCCACATGACTGACTGTGGTTTGAGTCCCAGACCTGGCAGCTTCTTTCTCACTTTCCTTTTTACTCTTTCTGTCTCTCTCTGGTCAACTTCAAATACATAAAATAAAATAATTCTTTTTTTAATAATTACTTTATTTAACTTTATTTTATTTATTTTGATTTGAGCTATGAGGGACAGAATGAGAGAGAGAGAGTGAGAGAGGGAAAGTGAGAAAGCAAGCCTCCTTGTCCGGGACTCGAACGGTGGTTGGTCAGGTGAAAGTCCAGTGCCCTTAACCTCCTGCTGGCCCCCAAATAAAATAATTCTTTAAAAATAACAAAGGGAAGTATGCGCCTAAAGAACTACAGTTGCATACTGACCTATGATGAGCTGTTCAGAGCAAAAGCACTGTGCAATTGTATGGACTGACTTATAGGCACTTTTTTCCCCCCATGAACTATTATTTTTACTTGGAAAAATGATTGGCAGCTAGATTATAGTTATTTAGACTTGGAGATTTGAGACGTTTTTTAGAATGACCAAAATGAGTCTGTCATTGTAAGAAAAACAACTATTTGTTGCTAATGACAAAATATAAGCTTTCATGAAATCAGAATTTTGGAAACCTTATATCTCCCCTGTCAGTACGACCTTGACACCTGTTCAATAAAGACTTTTCAGGTAAGCATAGAGGTTATATTAATGAATGTGATTTTTAGAAATTGTATAATCAAATGTGCCAACCATTTGGAAGATTCACATAACTCAACAAACCAATATTTTCTGATGACCAATCTATGTTATAAGAATCATACAAAGTGCAAGAAAGACCAATGGATTTTTTTTTTTAAGAGAGACTTTTTCTATAGGATGCAAGCATTTGCTGTAGAGACAGAGAGAAACAGAGACAGAGAGAAATCAGCCCCCGGGGGCAATAGCTATGCAACAATCCATTCTCCATTTTTCCTCTCAGGATCTTGGGTACACACACACACACATGCCCACATGAATTTTAAGCCACCGGGTCTAGGACTCGAACTGCGGTCGACTACAAGGGAGTCCAGTAATGTAATCATTATGCCATCTGCTGGCCCCAAGACCAATAGGTTTTAATATAAGAATACAAAAGTTCATTGATATGGTTTCAGATTTCACATGTCAACTCCTCTTTTTTTTTAAGTTTTTGTTATAGGGCGCATGCCCTTGCTAGAGAGAGACAGAGAGAGAGAGAGACAAAGAGAGAGAGAAAGAGAAAGGAAAAGTGAGAAATTACCCCCTGGGGGGATGGTCATACTGTAATCCTGTTGCCTCCACTCCCCTCTTGAGATTTTGGTTACACACACTCACACATGCACCCTGAGTGTTTTTCAAGCCACCATGTCTGGCACTCAAAACAGTGTCCTCAACCATGTGGAATCCAGCCTCTTTAAACACTATGCCACCTAACTGGCTCTTCAACTCATCTTTAAGAAACTATTCCTTGTTAAATTTTGGTATAGCATAAAAAAAACAAAAAACAAAAAACAAAAAAACTTGTATCTAGGATTATCTGTAAAGATTATTAAAATATCCTTTCTTTTTCTGATATAATAGTCATATTTCTCACGTATTTGTGTGAAGTCATATATTCATTACATAATTCAACCAAGACATTTTGCAAAATAGAATGAATGCAGAAGTAGATATGAGAATCTAGCTGTTTTCTATTAAGGCAGACATTGCAGAAATTTGCAAAAAAAAAAAAAAGGTAATACAATGCTACTCTTATCATTAATTTGACTTTTTAAAAAAATCTAGTTAGTTTTTGTAAACATAATTTATGTTAACATACAATGGAATTCTTACAGTAATCTTAAAATTAATAAATATTTTCAAAGAATTGATTTTAATTTCTAATTTGATAAATCACATCAATAGACAGAGCTCCCACAAATTTTCCTTTTTTAAAAATTTTGCTGGAGGACACATGTATTCATTCACCAGAGAGAGAAAGAAAGTGAGGAAACAACTCCTATGAGGGATGGTCACACCACATCTGTTCTCCATTTCTTCTTTTAGGATTTTGGGCATACACACATGCACCCAAGTGTACTTTTAAAGTCCTCAGGTCTGGGATTTGAACCAGGCAGTCAGCCAGGTGGGATCCAACTGCCCCAACCACCATGCCAGCAACTGGTTCAGAACTCCTCTGAATAAAAGCTCTTTGAGCTCTGCAACAATTTTTAAATGTATAAGGATATCCCAAGATCAAAATCCTTCAAAACTGCTAAGATTAATCATTTTAATAGTAGCTTTAATTTAAACATCATGACTGTTCTGTATTTAGGCCTACTTTCAGTGCAATTTCCTGATTCCAACAGATCTAATGAAAATAAGTTTTTTCTCCCTCACTTAATACACTCTCCCCCCCCCCCAAAGGAATGTGTCCTCACTGCAGCTATGAGGGACAGAATGAGAGAGAGAGAGTGAGAGAGGGAAAGTGAGAAAGCAAGCCTCCTTGTCCGGGACTCGAACGGTGGTTGGTCAGGTGAAAGTCCAGTGCCCTTAACCTCCTGCTGGCCCCCAAATAAAATAATTCTTTAAAAATAACAAAGGGAAGTATGCGCCTAAAGAACTACAGTTGCATACTGACCTATGATGAGCTGTTCAGAGCAAAAGCACTGTGCAATTGTATGGACTGACTTATAGGCACTTTTTTCCCCCCATGAACTATTATTTTTACTTGGAAAAATGATTGGCAGCTAGATTATAGTTATTTAGACTTGGAGATTTGAGACGTTTTTTAGAATGACCAAAATGAGTCTGTCATTGTAAGAAAAACAACTATTTGTTGCTAATGACAAAATATAAGCTTTCATGAAATCAGAATTTTGGAAACCTTATATCTCCCCTGTCAGTACGACCTTGACACCTGTTCAATAAAGACTTTTCAGGTAAGCATAGAGGTTATATTAATGAATGTGATTTTTAGAAATTGTATAATCAAATGTGCCAACCATTTGGAAGATTCACATAACTCAACAAACCAATATTTTCTGATGACCAATCTATGTTATAAGAATCATACAAAGTGCAAGAAAGACCAATGGATTTTTTTTTTTAAGAGAGACTTTTTCTATAGGATGCAAGCATTTGCTGTAGAGACAGAGAGAAACAGAGACAGAGAGAAATCAGCCCCCGGGGGCAATAGCTATGCAACAATCCATTCTCCATTTTTCCTCTCAGGATCTTGGGTACACACACACACACATGCCCACATGAATTTTAAGCCACCGGGTCTAGGACTCGAACTGCGGTCGACTACAAGGGAGTCCAGTAATGTAATCATTATGCCATCTGCTGGCCCCAAGACCAATAGGTTTTAATATAAGAATACAAAAGTTCATTGATATGGTTTCAGATTTCACATGTCAACTCCTCTTTTTTTTTAAGTTTTTGTTATAGGGCGCATGCCCTTGCTAGAGAGAGACAGAGAGAGAGAGAGACAAAGAGAGAGAGAAAGAGAAAGGAAAAGTGAGAAATTACCCCCTGGGGGGATGGTCATACTGTAATCCTGTTGCCTCCACTCCCCTCTTGAGATTTTGGTTACACACACTCACACATGCACCCTGAGTGTTTTTCAAGCCACCATGTCTGGCACTCAAAACAGTGTCCTCAACCATGTGGAATCCAGCCTCTTTAAACACTATGCCACCTAACTGGCTCTTCAACTCATCTTTAAGAAACTATTCCTTGTTAAATTTTGGTATAGCATAAAAAAAACAAAAAACAAAAAACAAAAAAACTTGTATCTAGGATTATCTGTAAAGATTATTAAAATATCCTTTCTTTTTCTGATATAATAGTCATATTTCTCACGTATTTGTGTGAAGTCATATATTCATTACATAATTCAACCAAGACATTTTGCAAAATAGAATGAATGCAGAAGTAGATATGAGAATATAGCTGTTTTCTATTAAGGCAGACATTGCAGAAATTTGCAAAAAAAAAAAAAAGGTAATACAATGCTACTCTTATCATTAATTTGACTTTTTAAAAAAATCTAGTTAGTTTTTGTAAACATAATTTATGTTAACATACAATGGAATTCTTACAGTAATCTTAAAATTAATAAATATTTTCAAAGAATTGATTTTAATTTCTAATTTGATAAATCACATCAATAGACAGAGCTCCCACAAATTTTCCTTTTTTAAAAATTTTGCTGGAGGACACATGTATTCATTCACCAGAGAGAGAAAGAAAGTGAGGAAACAACTCCTATGAGGGATGGTCACACCACATCTGTTCTCCATTTCTTCTTTTAGGATTTTGGGCATACACACATGCACCCAAGTGTACTTTTAAAGTCCTCAGGTCTGGGATTTGAACCAGGCAGTCAGCCAGGTGGGATCCAACTGCCCCAACCACCATGCCAGCAACTGGTTCAGAACTCCTCTGAATAAAAGCTCTTTGAGCTCTGCAACAATTTTTAAATGTATAAGGATATCCCAAGATCAAAATCCTTCAAAACTGCTAAGATTAATCATTTTAATAGTAGCTTTAATTTAAACATCATGACTGTTCTGTATTTAGGCCTACTTTCAGTGCAATTTCCTGATTCCAACAGATCTAATGAAAATAAGTTTTTTCTCCCTCACTTAATACACTCTCCCCCCCCCCCAAGGGTATGTGACTCACTGGAAAGAGAGAGAGAGAGGGAGAGTGAGAAACCTTCCCTGGGAGGATTGGCCACGCCACAATCCCTTCTCCTCCATTCTCTTCTCAGGATTTTGAGCACGCACACATGTGTCCACTATGATTTTTCAAGTGGCCAGGTCTAGGACTCAAACCATAGTCAGTCACGGTAGTTCAGCGCCTCAACCACTCCTCACCTTATGGCCCCTGCTTTTTTTTTTGTTTTTAATTTAAAAATATTTAACAGGTTTAATAGAAGAAAGGAGGAAAGAAAGGGTAGTTACCTCCTCCTCCACTGGTCTCCCCCTTGGAAACAAAGAAGCCACATCCTACACCTCTCATACTCCAATCCTCCCATGAGAGGCCCAGGAATTTGTTCTAAGCCTTACCCTCTTGGGGCCGAAGAGATTGTGGTAGAGCGTCCTAAAGCGCTTGCGCGTGTAGTTGCAGCGATAAGCACCGCCCATCAGGTACTCGATCACCAGGCCGATGTCAATCAGGCTGATTCTGTAGTCTGGAGGCAGGTTCCCCTATGAGGGCAGAATCAGACAAACGAACAAATCCAAAGACAGAGTGGTTTACTAGAGATTCTCATTCATGTGTTCTGTAACTATTTTAGAGTAAAAAAAAAATGAAAAAAGAAACATATGAATGTATTATTATGCTGGTTAATTAATTCACCTTAAAATAGATCCAACCGAAACCTGGATATTCTCGCTTGGAAAGAAGACATAAGTTAAATAAGAAGATGCAGTAATCGTCGGCAATAACAGAAAATCAAAATATTTATTCACGTCTTCAGCTGGGGAGAAAAAAACACCAGTGTAGCAGAAAGAAACACAAGGCCAGACACGGCATATGCTATCACTCCCAGGGTCTGACAACTAGAGGCCCCAGATATCCCCCAATCCCTCCTTTCTTCCCCTGACCCTATCACTGCCCTCTGGCTGAGCATTTAGTTCTTCCTACTCACTAGAGGAAGACTCCTTCCAGAAGATGAGTGTTATTACCAAGGCTACCCTGTGGGGCGGCATCTGCTGAGGGCTCAGGTCTCCATTAGTACAAAACTCCTATAAAAATTAATAGTATTTTTTTTTTTTTTTTTATAAAAGAAGAGCAGTGTCTAGGGATGGGGTTTTGGGTGTCAAGATAAAGTTGTATGGGGACATCTCTTGTGCTTGAAGGGAAGTTGAGGAAGAAATAGAAGGCATTGTATTAATGGAATTCTTATTTTCCCAGAATTAAGGACATTTTTCATTTTTTCTTTCTAATAGTATTTGTCAAAGTCTTAGACTTAGGTGTATATTGTAGCTGCTTGCCATATATAAATGCAAAACCAGAACATTTCTGGCCCAGCCACTGGGGACAATGGTAGCAGTGTCTTGCAGTGCTAGAAGTCATACACTGCCCACAGTTTACATCCTGGGTTAGTCTGAAAAACACGCTGAGTATGCCGATGGGTGCCAAGGTCCTGAGGAGCTGGAAGGCTGGGGAAAGGGGACTGTGGTGTGATGAGACCTTGTAGAGGGGGCTTTCTCTTTCTCTCTTGTGTGTGTGTATGTGCATATGCTTCCTATCAAAAAGGACCCTTTGGGGCCGAGGAAAATCATAGCTCTGTTAGGTCAAGGAACAGCAGTATCATTTATGGATAATACTGAGTGACTAGTGATTTCCAGAGGGCGTGATTGATTATTCAGCTCTCACCTAGTTTAGTTCCTTCCTGCAGAAGGCCGCTCTATATCACCAATGATGGGGTGTCATACCAGAAAGCCTGGTGCACTGTGTCCTTAGATGTATTTTGGAGAGGCAAGAGAAGCTCTGTCCACTACTGTCCTTAATGGAGGATTCACCTGGAATGCTGTGTGAGATTTTTGGCACTTCACAGGAGAGGCTGATAATCTACAGTGGTGGTTTTCCAACTTCGGTGGTGTTAGAACTGCCTAGGAAACTTGGTGACAACGCAGTCCTGGACCTTGTCCTACTACTTCAATGGATAGAGTTTTTATGCTGTTCATTAGCTCCTCCAGGCAATTCTGATATACCCTAAAGTTTGTCAAACTGTCTACTAAACAAGATTCACGTGGCATGATAGATTACATGGCAGAACCCAGAAACCCATAGTTAAGAAGATAATCAGTGTCAGCA